TGCACGACTGGGAGTGCTTGAATTGCCTCCCTTTTATTTCTTCCAGCCGAGTGTTGAACACTCGGTGATCTCGTAAAAGGCTTACCCGTGCCTGGTACCCTTCCGCTGCTGGGACCACGAGGATTCAAAACACCTGCTAGCTTTGCTCGTGCTGGTAGCGTGTTCTTATTTTTACTGGTTGGCCTATATAAGTAGTTTACAAGGTCCAGTTTGTCCCGGTTCAAGGGCAGAACTGGGGTCTTCAGGTCCGCCCGAACGATCGTTTACTATCCTAGTAGACGTATTGTTGTGGGAACATCTTAACTACATCTGTAGCTAGAGTTCACGTGGGATTTCCAACACCACACATAGGCCAGATCCTACAACCTAGTGAGCTTCTACTTTACACGTGCAGATCCGACAGGCTAACCGGATTTACTACTTGGCCGGGTATACCCAAGAAGATCTCAACTCTCAAGCTCCCGTCACAGGAGGCGGTAAGTACGACGCAAAGACAAGGGAACACACCCGCAAGGCAACCCTACGGCCAGATCCATGATCTAGGCCCTGGATCCACTTAAGCTCGAATATTCGCTTAGGATCCAGAACCAACCACGGACGCAGAGTGAGGATTTTATCACTGCTGCTCCACCCCATCCCCACGTCTCGCCAAGACACTCAAGCTTCACCACTTGAACTCTTCAGAAGTTACCGAGAGAGCAAGATCCCGCCCTACCGACGGGTACACAAGGTGAGAAAAGTTCAGCAGAACACGGATCATTGGAGGACCCCTCCGTTAGTCGGTGTCTGGGCGCTGTTGGTAAGTTGGATCCAGCAATCTCGCAGATTTTGCTGATCCCGCTACACCACAAGATTATCAACCAATAGGCGACAGCGAGCCTTCATCCGACTCTTGTGACCGGATTCTGACACATTATCAGCACCAATTAGGCCTTGCAAGCCATTATCTTCCATGATGCTATTGAAGTCTTCATAGTAGCAGAAGATCCGAGCATCACAGTCGTCGATAGAAAGGTCCAGCTTTAGCTTCTGGCGAAACAGAGGGCACGAACTCGTTCTTGAGCGTGCGGCACCGTGCCTGCACCACAGCAAGGACCTCAGCGTAAGTAACCGAGCCCACGGGATTCTTGAGCACATAGGTGGCCATATTGCGCAGCGCTTTTGGTTTGATTGAGTCCTTTACAGTGGCCACCACGTTTTCAAACGTTTCGCCTGTCATCGAGCAGCGGTGACGAATCTTAGAGGCGTAGCGCTCCCACTCACGATACCATTCGATTAGGTCTGCATGGTCCCATTTGGATAGTTCTGGGGGACGGATGGCCTCGAAGATTGGCTGAGGGACTGACATCTCGACGTCGCCATCGGAGTCCATCGTGTAACGCGATGCCGACATGTTGAAGTTGTTCGTACTTAATGCGAGTCCTTGAATTCGCACTTAGTCGAGGCTGCCCAGTACGGACTTGGCCAGCAGATCCCCGGTCGATACTCGCACCAAAGAAAGAAATTCAGACCGATGTCTGGGATCAACAAACTTGAGCTTAGTAAAGTGCAAAGCCAACTTTGTCGCGTAACCCAGGTGTCCCTAAGAAGGAAAGTTTATTAATGATCAAACAAAGGCGACGACTTGAAAACTAGCTCCTCTTTCTCTGGGTTCAATGCACAGGCAGTGGTGGACACGTGCCAGCGCTCAGTGATGACTTGTGTCGCGTGCCCGAAGTCCCATGCGGCCTCAAGCCGTTATCGCCTTCACCGTTCGTAGGTCTTGAGCCACGTGCATTCCTTCCCCATTGGTCCTCTGCTCGTGTTTAGCACGAGCTTAAGCTGAAGGGACTCCCAAGCTTGATATCCTGCCATAATCAGGGCGACACTAGCGCCACAATAATATTTGTGAATAACCTGCGCTTTGAGCCTGCTGCCACAAATCACATCACAAACGAGCTTTTGTTCATGCCGGACGCCTGTCTCGCTGCATTCACAAGTGAGATTTGCCCCCGACATCATTTCACCTGCCCGAACAGCCTATGCGGCCGTTGGCAACTGTATTCTGTGGTAAAGGCTGCTGGGAGCTGGACGTCAAGGCACGTTCCTGTATATCTGTGTACTGAACGGAAGTAGACATGGAAGCATTTGATTATATATTACGTCCACCGACTAGACAATAGTACCATGGTTTCCCTGTATGTACTCTGTATAGATATTATCCCTTCTTCTTCGGTCTTCTGCTCTTGTTGGAACAATGAAGACTTCGTTTTCAAGCTGCCTGTAGCTGAGAAAAGATTTGCATCAAGTAAAACGTGTGGTACTTTTCCCAACAAGTCCATGTTGGCTGCTGGCAGAAGTACGACTTGAAAGCGGTGGTGTGCACGATTTGGCAGAGACTAACGCAGTGAAGCGTACAGTGATCGGTCATAACGGTGGGAAACCGGTCTTTCCACTGGCACACTACGCAATGTCGGCGTCGCTTCTTCTTGTCAAAAATCTGCTTCAAATTTACAAGTTTTTTTTGGGCTACTCGCTACTTGATGTACTTCCACGCCGCAATGCCACATAGATGATACTTTGATTGCCGTTACAACGGCCTCCCCACCCCGGTGTGAGCAGAACACCCTGCTGTTGCTAGGCGCTTCCATCCATTTGCCTGAAATTAATTCTTGTGCAAGTTGTGCAACGAAAGACCGGTGTGGGTTGCGATTCTTGGTCATATCGATAGTCAGCCTTCTTGACATGTAGGTTTTTACACGGGCAGCATGCACGATTGCCATACCATGTTTTTTATATCACTTCTTAAATATGTGGCCGTCTGCCAGCGAAAATCGTCCGCGCGATGTTGATCCAGGCGATCGACGCCTTGCATGTTTGCACTGTAATGAGCTACACAAGCTAGAGCATTGAACGGCTGCAGTTGACTTTCGATTATGCGTGTAAGTGCTGTCTCAGATGACTTGTCAGCATTTGAAATCATTTTTACTACTGCACTGTCGTACCAAGATACTGCAATCATCTCATGGTCAGCCGGTACTCCTTGCTGATACTGCCCACGGTGACAGTCATTCTTCTTTAGGACGACGTGATGCGCAAAATGCAGGCTATTTGCGCGAATGGCCCCACGACCCGAGAGACCCTTGAGGCGCAGCGCTGCAAGTAGCTGAACTGGGATGTAGTAGCTATCGGCGTTTATATCCCGGTTTGAATGAAAAAGAGACCGTTCAACCTCCATCACTTGTCCACGATAGCTCGTTCAACGCTTGCTGCAAGACATCAATTTATTGTGAGGCAATTACGCCTTGTAGACGCTCAGAAAAACCACTGGCACAATGGACTCGAAAGGGTTGATAGCTATCCACGATGAAGCGTAGCAAAGCGTGTAAATCCTAAAATGCTGTTTGCCCCCCCCCCCCCTCCCGGCTTCATAGGATTATACAGTATCAGTCGCTGACCGAACTTCGTCCTGCACGCGACATTAGCCTCGTCACGTGACACATCTCTGCCAACCTCCACATATTTTCCATCCGTGATTTTCAACATATTTAGAAGCGACCTAATTCTCCTGGCCGAGCCCACATGTTTTGTTTCTTCTGAAATGGCAGCTACACCCGTTTGTCGAAAGTGTTGGTCTGTTCTGTGCAATAGCGGCTCAGTTGTTGCAATTGCCACAGTTGCTGTTCCTTGGTTGAATCCGCTTTGTCGCCCATCCGCTCCTGACGCACTTCCATCAGTGTCAACTGGTGATGGCTGAGTATATGGGCCGCTCTGCTGCGCGTGGCCTCTTGAGTCGCTACTAAAATTGTCAGCTTGGCTGAATAAGGTATATGGCTAAAGCAAAAGTGTTATCGTAATAACTTGAATCTGCTCAAAGACATCACTGGATCAAGACCTGCATGATGGCCTCCAATAATTGAATCCTTAACCTGCTTTCCCCAATAATTGGCTTTCGCCTTTATCCACCCCTTTCAAATAGAAAAGAGCTCCGAAGAAAGTCATCAATTCTTGTAGCTTGAAAGGTTTGCTGGAACCTGTACGCTTACCTAGTTCTGCAGCGCGATTTGTTTGTTTGATGTAGAACCTCTATCTAGTAGTAGACTGGAGCAAAAGCAAAAAGGCTCGAAGTTGCTGAGTGCTCAAACAAATGTTGGAATTGAGGTCATTTTTTGTCTTTGTTGTCCCATCCTGGTGTTGGTATAGGTCGGAAGGTCCTTCGACGTGCGCAACAAAGTTGAAATTCATATTTTTGATGCTCTCGACTTCAGGCATTGAGGATGGAAGAATTACTTCTGGGTTATATTGCTCGTAGTTGCCATCAATCTCTACCAAATCGCTATCATCATCCACAATACAGGTTTCAGTACTTTCAGTCTGACAAAGCGATCTCCAAGGTAGCCTCGACGGTGATGCCAAAACTTTTTTATAATTTTCCATGCCACGCTGATCAACACTCATGCTGATCCATTTGTCTGCTTTTTGGAACTGCGTGTCCAGCCAATGGACCAGAAACAATCATTTCTTCTTGTCAAAGTGAAAAACACGGCCAATAATGTATGCACTCCCTGCGTCGTCAAATAGACGCTGTGACAGCCATGATTCCTTCACTGGTGAGAATGCAACGATATTTTCAACATAAAGCTGCGGTAGCGATGCTGTTGTGAACGGGGGTGGCAGTGCAATGGTCGCACTAGCCTCAGATAGTGTGGGCACTGACGATCCAACAGGCTGGCTTGGCACCACTTCTACAGTAGCTGTGGCTACACGCATCCTCGCCACTGAAGTTTGCATTTACCAGCGCTGCTTCGCTGTCTTTCTCGTGGCTGTATTGTTTCGTGGAGTACCGGTGGCTTGTGTTTGGGTCGCTGTGTATGATGATCTCGCTTCACTGAGGCCCTTGCCTGTAGACCCCGCGTGAGATTTGAAGGCTGAGCTGGCTGCTGCTCTTCAACTGTGGTTGGCTGTTGAACAATATGGGCACTAGACGTGCGCGCAGACTGCTGATGCTGGCAAGGAACCGGTGCTGCAGTCGTGGTTTGGACATGGAACCCATGGATTCCATGATGGACTGGTTGAGCGTCGACGCGAAGATTTGCACGGCTGATGTGGTGTCGCTCGTCTAGCTCAGTAGTCGTTGACGAACGCGGTATTTCTTCCTGATCTACATTCACTACAGTGAAGTGGGCACAGGCCTACACGTCGAGAGCGGAGTCGATGCCGTCCATTTCGCGATCTTCTTCAATCGCTGCTCAATTCTGAGCTGCTACAGCAACATGTACACTGAGGTCAGTGTTTAATCGAGGAAATTAATAATTTAGATGAAGATGAATTCCCTGGTGGATTTTAATACAGACAACGCCGGCTATAGTGGAGATGTTTGGACTGTGACTCAGACGGCTCTCTTATAAATGTTTCGCAGTTGTAAGAGAAAAGCTATTATATGTCTCTCCTATAAATGTTTCGCAGTTGTAAGAGAAAACCTATTATATGTCATCGAAACATACGATGTTTCATGAAAAAGCGGTAATGGACGTCAGGCGCTTCGAGGTGATATCCATCGTCCTGCAGACATCGACAACCTTTTGCACTGAGTAATCATGATAACCATGAGCAAACATGAATACCTGTAGTTTTTGGCGCTGCTGCCAAAGCCTCCGCGTGTGAAAATGATGTCTCTTCGGCTTCATCACCGGAGCTATCACTCGATGACTCCAAGCTTGCGTCTTTCGCTGTCCAAACTCTCGTCGATGTTATCATCGATGACAATGTAGCTTGACGCACTCATTGCATCGTCTAACTTCAATCTTGATATAATAAGCACGTCGAGATCGCCAATCTCTGCCTCGCGGGAAGGCTCGCTGTCTTGCTCAACACTCGCGCTCATGCTTCCTGGTACAATCCTTGTGTGCCGCCAACAGTATTGCTCAATGACCACTGCACAAACAACTTTTTGTATTTGAGCTTAAAGTTTCGGATAATACCAGCGTCCATTGGTTGTAAGTGAGATGTCGTGGTTTTCGAGAGAAAGTGAATTCGAACGTTGTTCAGCTCAATTTGGGCATGGCCCGGAGCATTGTCTACAAGCAGAAGTAATTTGCGTCCGTGCATCTTCAGATTTATCGCTCGCACCCACTCCAGAAATACTTTGGTCGTCATCCATGCTTTGGTGTTCGAAAAATATTTAATCGGGGTATCATTGATGTTAACCTCTCGAAAGCACCGCGGTTTCGCAGCTCTGTTGATCACAATTTTTTCAGCTTCTTGGTTCCAGAAAGGTTACAGCACAAGCCAATGCTAAGTCTTGCTTTGTCCTTTTTTCTTCCTGCGATCGCTCTAGTCGCTAGTGTTTGACTCGGCAGCATCCTATAAAACAACGCTGTTTCATTCATGTTGAAGATGTCGTGCGGGTTGTACTGATTAAGCAGCTCCATTAGAACCGTACGCTGCTGGCCAAGATTCGCAGTGTCAACCGATCCTGCTTCGCCATGCATGATGTGCAGGGAAACGACATGGCGGGCCTTAAACCTCTGAATCCAGGACATCGTAACGACCTCCCCCCCCCAACTCGCTGGTTAGCCTTCGCTTGCAGAACGTCGTCAGACAGCAGACCATGTTCCTCTTGGTTATGGACAAAGTCCAGAAGCTGGGGCTCGGTTGTCACGTGCTGGGGTTTGCGTTTTTTTTCTTGATATTGCCGTTAGGTGTGGCATCAAGAGGCTGGTTCACAATTTTCCCGATAGTCGAAACACCAATCCTCTTCTTGAGACGTGTAGCCACCCACTGCTGGAGATCGACGTGCTTGAGACTGGGGTTGGCGAGATGGTGACGACGCAGCTCGTTCTTCTCGTAGACCGTGAGGTGTTGAAACCATTGTCTGCGTTCGTGTTTTAAAATGAGTCACGTGGTCCCCTCTCTTATTGCCCCAAGGGGGGCTCTCTTACACTCGAACAACCTTATAGCCGGATTGACTTCATTTTATCAAGGCACTCGTTATTTTGCCCGAATAGGCAACACGTGACAGGACATCCGTGCCAGAATTGACCCGACAGGCATGCCCGAATATGCCCGACTTAGCTAGAGCCGGAGGGTCATCTAATGAAGTGTCCTCGAAAATATACGTATAGCCGGAAGCTCATTGAGAGAGCAGAGCAGCATGTAGAGAGAAGAACACACGTGTGTGGCATTCTGACATTTTGCTATTGCATGCATAGCATCCAGGTATCCATCAAATGAAATTGTGGCGAACATCCAGCACTAGTCTGCATTAGAAAAATGAACTAACTTGTTATTGCTAAATGCACATGCACAGATATCTATAGCGCACGCAGATACTGAATCTCCTTTTTACTCAGCAAACTAAGACATTCGGCGCCACAAAATATCTCGAAGGCTACTAGCATGTAAATCCCACAGTTGTAGTTATCGACTTGCACTCCGAGATCACTTTGGTAGGCACGGGTTCGATATTTTCTTGGGACGAAATCAGGTAGCATCGCCACCAACTTCTCGGCAAGTGGTCGAATATTGGCCCCGTAGGTGGAATTCATCGGGTCGTAGATAAAGACTTCTTTGTGTGAAAGATCCATCATGATTGAGCACCAGTGATTCTTTCCACATATCACTGGGATCAAAATTTTCTCCGTGGTCACGTCAAGGAAAATATTGTGCGTGGTTTCAACAGAAGCGTGGCCATTCATGACGTTCCCAGTGAGTCCTGTGTCTACCGCAATCACTTCGGCCCTTGATGCGAACAGATTCGACATCAATATGTCAACTGAGTTGTCGCCCAGTGCAGATTTCCTAACCAGTTCCAGTGCTTCTGCCTGCGTCAGTAAATAAATGCACGTCTTAGTAAATAGTATTAATAAAGGTGTGTCATACAGAACATTCATACCTGAGTCGAAAGAAGCGGGATGAACTTCAGCTTCTCAATAAGATTGGGGTCTTGATTGACTTTGAAGCACGAGGGCATATGGAGAGGGAAGTCGACCGTTTCGATTCAGCTAAATGCCTTCTCCACAAGTATAGTCATCTTCTTTGCCTTATGCCACATTTCATCACACCCAGTGTCTTTGTAGAGAAGGTGCCGACACCAATAACTTTCACCACCACCATTGTTTCACCTAAGTTACCCGCACCCTTGTCCGACCGCTTTTTTCTGGGAGCGGAAACTTTGTCGAAACACTTCTTAATATAATCGGCACGAAATATGCGCATGATCGACTCGCTTGGTGTCACCTGTTTAGCTGGAGGTAGCGTCGCTAGTATTCGAGCAATCGGGGCTTTGGGACTTTTGGTAAACTCAAACAACTTGAATCTGGAAATAAGTGCTGCTGCTGAATCGTGGTTGTCAAAAGTGTACTGTAAGTTTGCCAGGCTAAGCTGTGATGCGTACATTTCCGAGTCAATTATTTCCAAGCGTCACCGTGTTTTTCCGCTTGTGATCACACCACAAATCTCGGCATGCGTCCCAATTCTTGACAAAGTAGGCAATAAACGGGTGTCGTTCACGCCTCGGTAGTGTTTCAGCATCGTTTGAGTGCATACCATGCTCTTCCAGGTCTAATCCCGACCCTTGCTCAAGTTGCCCATCTAGACCCGTCCTGTGCCCGACTTGCCCAACAGATTCAGACGCCGCATAGTCTGAAATCTGCTTCCCCATTTCGCTTAGATGATCCATATACTGGAAATGCTTCACGTTCTCGGTCTCCGTCTTTGCGTAATGCAGTAGGCTTATAACACCTCGTAGCTGCTCCTTCTGCCATGAACTGAACCCGTAGTCGGACGATGCTATTTCTTCTCGCAAATATTTAAGAACGTGGAACTGGCAGAGCAAAATAGCAACGTTGGGGAAGGCCTTCTTCAACACTGACATCTCGGTGAAGTCCTTGTCAATAAGGATACACTGCAACTTTGTCCATGCAAAGTTGTTAGCCTTAAATTCCTCCAGCGCTGTTAGCAACGTCGGCCATCGCTCGTTCTGTAGCAGAGAGTGCTGCACAAATTGACCTTTTTCGAACGTATCGTGGGCCATGAAGGAGAAGACCTTGTACCTCGAGCGATTTGTCCCGTGCGTCGCGTCAATCAGAAGGACTTCTGGAAATTGTTTGAAGAGAGACCGCATGTGTTTTGTTTGAAGAGTAATGCACGTAGCAATTTTCTACCATGACAATTGCACAATTTTCAGACAATAGATAAAACCAATTATAAATGTAAAAAGTACCTTTCCATCCACTTCATCAACGAATATACGACCGACATTCCCGGGCCGGTAACCAAACTCTGACATCCACGTCTTCATCCATTTTGCGCTGGAAGATGGTCCCTTTCCCGTTTTCACGATCCTTCAATTTCCGAACTAGATTTTGGACGTCCCTGAGCAGTTGGGTTGCTGTCCGAATTATCCTTAATAAATTTAAAAATACTCGTCTTCTTAGCGCCCGCCTTTCGGAGTTCATCGACGGTTTGCAAGGTTTTGTTGGGGATGGAAACGCGAGCAGAAGAGTGCCCCGGGAATGCATATTCAGATAGCCTGTGGCTATGCTCCTGATGACACTTCGTTATCTTGACAGCAAACCTCTTCGAAACTTTGTCGACCACTTGGACGCACGTATTGATCTGTGGGACGTTAAAGACATTGGTGCAATGATTATGATTCCAAACGTGGCCAACCAATTCCAAGCATGCCCAACTGAGCCGAAACTTGCCCGACTCAGCCAGAATTGCCCAACTCAGACAGAATTGCCCGATTCAGCCAAAATGGGAGTGTTTTAGAGCGTTAAGCCAAGGTCTAACCTGTGCATTACAGCCTCGGCTCGAGATTCTTGCCGTGGTCGTTTGCTAGTCGCTGTCGAGAAATATTTGCCATGATGAGTACAAAACAAAAGTCCGAGCGTACTGTACCCACTCAACGGAAATTCGAGGTGCCTTAGATCTCTGTACGTCCATTTTGGCGTTTCGATCAGCCGCATTGGTGTTTGTACGCATCCGAACGAAAGATCTACACAATATAGTGAGTATTAATGCGCTTTGAAGATGGCTGTTAAATGTGCAAAGTTACCTGGAACGATTGCGCTTGGTACACCCTGAGATAGTCATCAAAAGCTTTCCACGACTCGAATTGGGTCTGTTTTGGAGGTGGAGCGATAACAAGCTGTTGCTCAGCTCCATCACTCGCGCTACTAGATGTGCCGAGCATCTCGGGTCCATTGGGACATGGAGACGGCTGCCACTCACGCAAGAATCCGCTTGACTCATTCCCCTCGCTGCTGTCACTCTCGTCCGCAGCTCCCAGTGGGCGCTTTTGCGCGCTACGTGCCTGCGCAGCCATATTTCTCCCGCTGGTGCCGCGCGTTTTGACTGGGGGGGATTTGTGGCTGTGAGAAGGTTTGGTATTACGCTATACGCTCGGCGGATGTGAAAAAAATCAGCACATCGGAGAGGAGTAAAAGATCAGCTAGGTGTAAGTTTGAAGACAGTCCCCATTCGGGCAAAATACTCACTTCCTTTTATTAAAGCCTCCATTTTGGTCTAGTCTTTACCGCTCTTACACTCAAACTTCTCTTATATTCGGCGCCACTATAGCCGGAGTTGTCTGTACTCAAGTCCATATGGGTACCTAGGTCGTAGTATCGCATCGTGGCACTCACGATCGAGGCTGGCTTACCCGATGTGAAGCACTTGAGTCTCAACAAGCGTCTCAAGTTGAGATGCTTGTTGATAATATGCAGTCATAGTATTGCTCGTACTTTGGCGCCAGCTTGCCAGCGTAAAACATAGCATCTATCGTCGTTGCCTGTTGTACTCACGTCACAGATGCGAAGCTCGGACTCTACGGTCCAGATGGCTCCTTCTGGTTTTTTTTTACAGTAAATTATACTAATCTAAGTCATTCGCGAAAGGGCTAAAGTCGTACAGAGTTTAGGGTTTGTAGCTACCGGTACGATGTACCATCATACAGTTCTCCTTACTCATGATATTTTATTCCTGATGGAAGGTAATCTGAGGCAAGGGATTACAACGGAAGGGGTGTTTGTTTTATCCTCCATCCTGCACCATGCGCCGCTCGAGTAGACTGCGTGGTCGAGAGGACGCAGGGGTAGCCTCGGACATCCTGGCCAAGCGACAAAAATCTGGCGGTAGCGGAAACTCGTCTGCAGTACAGTCGATACCTTCGGAGCGTCGACCGACGTGGGATGCGTTTCTAGAGTCCAAGCTGTTCCTCAAGGCGCCTGGAGAATTGTATGACATCTTTGAGCTGGCTTCAGAGCTGCAGCCTGAGAACCCCTGCGGTGATACTATGTGTACTACTTGGAAATTATGATAATAGAGCTGTAATGGACATTTGTTTTTATCGGCTGTAGAGGCGTTTGTGGACACTTTGGGACTTCGGTTGACCGGTGCGTTCGACTTGTTGGCTGCGGCAGGCAAGAAGGAGGTGGCGCTGGACAAGCCGCTGTATCTGCATGGACGCTTCTTCTTCGATCCACCAGAGGTAGCAACTGTCATAGTGGACACTGAAAGTGACGACGGTCGGCACTGGGGATACTTCAGGTTGCTCAGAAATTCCGAATTTAAGGAGGATCGTATTGATTCGTATTGATAACTGATTGGTGCTGAGTGTAGAGATTCTCCTGGCCAAGTGCCAGAGTACGTCGTGCGTGCGGAGAGCAGTCATGAGTGCAAATTCGACATAGTGGGGGGTAATCTCTTTGAGGTGTTGGAGAGCAGATTGCAGAAGTGCCAATCGACTCTTGAGGGTGACAAAGTCGCGAATCTGCTTCAGAAGATCGAAGCTCAGAAATCGTGTGCTACTAGTAGAGGACGATCAGAATCGGCTCTTCGAAGTAAAAGAGCGAGGGAAGCCGTGGCTGGCTCACTGCATCAACTTGGCATTGTGGTCCCGGTAGACACTAAGAACAATACTGGATACCGTGAGCTGCCCACAGCTGGAAAAGACCTTGCAGACTTGTTGCGTCAAGTGGAACAGGAAGCAGACAATAAATCACCAGCGCGCAAGAGATTAAGTGAGCTCATCACTCGAGCTACGATCGCCAGTGATGAGTGCGATTTTGGGACTGGTCTCCTACTGGGCCTCGACGTCTTCACGGTGGGGTTGTGTCTCGAGGTGCGTCGCGATAGATCACGTAATTTACCTGCGTAATGTTGACTGTTCTGCGTTCGATTGGTGCTCTATGCAGAAAGAAGCACTGCAACTACTTCGCGTTGCTTATATGTTGCTACGTCGAGCGAACTTCTACAAGGTTGTGTCGGGCCACTGCAAGCACCGCAATGGCGACGAACTTAGTGCACGAATCGAATCTGTCGCTGCTTCGAATCAGACGGTCTTCGGTGAAAAGCAATTGAAGCAGTCGACAGTGGAGCTTCCATTGCCTCTTTGGGGCGACAACCAGAAGATTTCGGGCGTCTTGACAATGAAAAGCTCGAGTGCATGACTACCTCAATAATAATACATGTATTAATACTAATACATGTACAAGTATAAGATTATTAGAAATGTGATCACACTGTAGTATGCTGTATCTAAATGATAGCATATCCCTATCCCTATCTAGTGGTTGGCTGCAATCGATGATGCATGTCAATGACCAAAGTCTCTCCTCAACGTCCTTCATTAGAGGTTGGCGCACTATTATAGTACGGCAATAACAGTGAGCCATGGCCGAGCAGCAACAGAAGAAGGAAGCGATTGCCACCGAGCAGGCCGAGCTGGCCCCGATGGAGAAGTCGTTCTGGTACAAGGAAGCCCTGACGGAGGACTTGTACCTGTCAGCGGCTCTCAAGACCATCACGTTCGAGGCCAAGTCCAAGTTCCAGACTATGCAGATCATCGAGACGCATTCGTTCGGCAAGACGCTCGTTCTGGACGGTAAGACGCAGTCGGCAAAGAACGACGAGTGCATTTACCACGAGACTCTGGTGCAGCCGGCCCTACTGGCCCACCCGAACCCGAAGACCGTCTACATTGGCGGCGGCGGCGAGTTCGCTACAGCCCGTGAAGTGCTCAAGCACAAGTCGGTCGAGAAGGTTGTGATGGTCGACATCGACGAGCTTGTGTGCAACATGTGCCGCAAAGAGATGCCCGAGTGGGCCGACGGCGCCTTCGAGGACCCGCGTCTTGAGGTGCATTACACAGACGCGCACGCCTTCCTAAAGCAGTACGACGGCACGTTCGATGTCATCATCATGGATATTGCGGACCCTATTGAGGCCGGTCCGGGCTACGTGCTGTACACGGAGGAGTTTTACAAGTACGCCAACTCCAAGCTCAACAAGGGCGGCTACATGGTAACCCAGTCGGGCCCCGGCGCCGTGTACAACTGGGACGAGTGCTTCTCGTCCATCTACTGCACTCTCAAGACCAACTTTAACACTGTCGTGCCCTACACGGTCGACATTCCATCGTTCGGCTGCATCTGGGCCTTCAACATGGCCACCAACGTGGAGGACGGCGACGGTGAGGCCGCTGTGACGGCCATTCGCGAGCGTAGCATCGCTACAACCAACGCTCTGGTGGAGTCACGCATCAGCAAGCCGCTCCAGTTCCTCGACGGCGTGAGCCACATGGGTCTCTTTGGCCTGCCCAAGATCGTACGTGAGGCCCTTGAGAAGGAGACGCGCGTTATCACGGTGGACAACCCCGTCTTCATGTTCTAAGAGGCTGACCTTGTAAATGCCATTTTTACACAACTCTCACCCTTTCGTCTCCATTTCTGTGTGCGACCGATATAAAAGGGCAACTCGTAGTCCATCTAGGCCAAAAAGACCAAAAAAACATCATTGTGCAGGGTGAGTGAAAGTGGTGTCTATGATTCTCTACTGCACGCTCAGCCTTCACTACACTGATCTGTAGCTACCGACTCGACTGGGACTGACCGAATCCGCCGTCTTCTCTAAATCATGCGCAATCCACCTTCGCCTCCTCCTTGCTCTCGCCGACCTCGAAGCGCTCGTAAGCAGCAACAGACACGTCAACGCCCAGCTTCTTGGCCTGCTCGGCAACAAAAGCGCCAACCTTGGGGTTGCCCTCTTCAATGAAGTGGTCCTGCTCCAGCAGCGTAAACTCGCCGAAAAACTTGTTCAATCGGCCCTCCGTCATCTTGGCGACGATGTGTGCAGGTTTGCCCGAGTCCTTGACCTGGTCGGCCAGGAATGCGCGCTCCTTCTCCACCAGCGCCTCCGGAACGGTCTCGCGCGACAGGAAGCGCGGCTTGGCGGCCACAATGTGCATGGCCAGACGGTGACCAAGCTCCTTCACACCGGCCACCTGCTCGGCCGACGCCGACTTGGACGGGAACTGCAGAGCCACAAGCGCACCAGCACGGCCGAGCCCAGGCGCAGCCACGTTGTGCAGGTAGCTGCAGATCGTTCCCTCTTTGAGCTGGAACTGCACGGCGCGGTTAGCCACAACGTTCTCGCCGACGACGCCCACCAGTTCGGGCACCTTCTCGGCCACAGTGGCACCGTCCACCTCCACGAGCGCCAGCTTATCGGTGGGCAGCTGAGTCACGATCTCCGAGGCTGAAGCATCGGCCAACGCACCAGCCACGCTACTGACAAGGGCCTGGAACTTGTCGTTCATGGCCACGAAGTCCGTCTCGCTGTTGACTTCCACCATTGCGGCAGCCAGACCGCTGTCGGCCACCTTGACGGAAACAAGGCCTTCAGCCGTTTGGCGACCGGATTTCTTGCTAGCTGAAGCAATACCCTTCTTGCGCAGCCACTCGAAGGCAGCTGGGAAATCACCCTCTGTAGCAGCCAGAGCATTGCGAACATCCTTGAGCGGAGCCTGCGACTCAGCGCGCAGCTTCTTGACGGCCTCGATGTCCGGTTTGTAAGTGCTCAGATGACGAGCAAACCGCAACGGTGACGGGCGCGCACAGCGAGACAGAGAAGCAAAGGTCATGATGGCAAGACAGATTGATACACTCGGGACGGTGTCAGCCGCACAAAATTGATGCGATGTGTTCGTTTATTTTTCAAAAGCGAAGTAATAAAACCAGTAGTTGAAAGCTTCCAGAATATTAATAAGCTACACAATTGCAAATACATGAAATAGTCCCGACTATTCGCGGTGAATGGTAAAATCAAGGTCGAGTCCAATACGGACGACCGCGAAACTCCGTAGCAATGCTACGTATGCTACTAGCATACGTCATGCACTGATGAAATAGGGCACAATTGCCCAGCCAGGCGTTTTGGGTGCTAAAAACAGAGCCTATTCTATATCATCGACGTATAGAGCCAAGTTGTGCGATAATACATTTTCATGAAGCGTAAAACTGATATCATCCATTTTTTTAACATAAACAATGTTTAAGTTTAAATATTATTAGTAATAATGACCCGATAATGATATTTTGTGGACCATGTATTTTTCAAAAACTACATTTGCCTTAATTAATAAAAAAATCATTAATTAATGATTGCTATGACCAAGTCTCGCGCGATATTATTTTAATAATCATTCGTGAGAGTTGAATCTGTACTATAATTGTTATCAGTTGGTGCATACTATTTCCTCATGGGGATCGCGTCTGAGTGATATTTCTCCCGGAAATGGGACCGAGTACCACAAAATACTGGAAGGAGACACTAGTAATAAAGCTGCCTGAAACGAGGCCGAAATACTTGAGACGGAAGCTGAAAGGCATGGGAATATCCGGCAATCCAATGACGTTCGTGCTGCTGGAGATACGGAACTGGTCGGTGAAGGCGCTAGGTTCGCCCAGAAGCAAATACAGATCGATAGTCACTAATACCGCAACGAATCCCATGAGCACATTGTTTTTTCAGATTGGCTGGCGGTAGTGCGAGCCGAAGCTGAAGACCCAAGCAGCCGTGTGTTGCTGGAAGATGATCGTGAAGAAGAACAATGTTGACAAGTGGTTATCCGCCATGAGCCACCATTTGGCCGCATCGATGTTCTCGGGTGAAAATGGGCAGTACCAGATTTCGCTGGTTAATAGATGGACGCTGCAACGTTGACAAGCTGCTGGCCGAACAGTGACACGAGTGTGGTGGGTCCAATGAGGCTGGACGTCGGGCGCACAGGCTTTAGTTCCTTCAGTGGCTTGGACAGCGTGATGGCGTACGAACAGCCCAGTAGAGAAAATCCGTCCGAGAGGATCCAGCACCACTGCGACACCATCACGGTGTGATACGACTGGAAGCCCCACATCACCGAACCAATTAGGCCGTATACTATCAGAAACTTGACGGACGCGAACGACGTCGCCAAGCTACAGCGGCCTTCACGGCACAGATCAACCACCGACTGGATCGTCTTCGACTTGCTCGTGAACGGCGACACAACTGAAGCTTCAGCGTCACTCAGAGCCACACCGCAGTGCGCGAAACGAAGAGCACCACAGTCGTTGCCCCCGTCGCCGCACATACCAGTCACTGCTCCTGTCTCCATGTGCAGCTTCACACACTCCACCTTGCCGTCGGGTGTCATGCGACTGTAGATGCGGATGTGCAGTAACAACCTCTTGATCTCGCCCATGGACACCAGGTAGTCGAACGCCACACCCGTGACGGCCAGCTCCACGTCCTCGCCCCGTTCGACCAAACTCTTCACCGCAGACAGGTCGTACTCTTCCTCCGAGTCCACGTCGCGCCACACCAACTTCTTGAACTCAGTCGTTGACACCATCTCACCCAGAATCACACGAGAGCTCGACGACACCATGCCACTCTGGCGAGCAATGTAGCAGCCGCACATGGCGTTGTCACCCGTGATCATGACGGTGCGAATGTCGCCGGCCTTGAGCTTGGCGATGGCGTCGGCCGTGTCGTCCTTGAGCTCGTTACGGAACAGAATGAGACTCAGCAGCGACAGACTCTCGTCCACGGCCTCGCGGTCGTTGGCGAACTCGACAACCTGCTCATGCGTCCAGTCGCTCGGCAGCTCGCGGTACGACAGACCCAAAACGTAGCATCCGTCCTTGGCGAGACGGTCGGCCACGCTCTTGTAGTCGGCCAGCACACTGCCAGGTGTGCTCAGCTGTTGCATGCGCTCGTACGACCCCTTGCAGAACACATAGTACTTGCCACTTTTGCGGTTGCACACTACGACGCTCATGGACATGCGGTGGTGGTCGAAGTCGTAGCGCTTGACGAACTCCAGTTCCAGTCCCGAGTCCACCTTCGACTTCACACACGGCTGTTCTCCTTCCTTCTTGACCAGCTCCCAACCCGTGGCCGTGAACATGCGCACCTCCACTTCGTTACCCACGAGACGGTCTTCGAGAGAGCCGACCGAGTGGCACGTCGTCAGGGCGTACAGAAGATCTTCAGACGACGATGCGTCCTTCACATCGTTGACAATGGGGGTGAAGAGGCCGTCCCTAACCGGTTGAACGCCGAGGAAGTCGAGTCCCTGCTTGGTGAGGGTGCCGGTCTTGTCGAAGCAGAAAATGCGCACCTTACCGGCGAGAGTGATACGTTGGACATTGAGTGAGAAAACGCCGAGCTTTTCGAGACGCTGGGAGGCGTTCACCTGGCCAACCGTGATGACAACGGGGAGGAGTGGACTGATGACGCACGACAGAACAAAGATGGCGTAGCAGAATGCGGCATAACGGTTGCTCAACTTGCCGTTGCTCAACAAGAAGTTGATCACAAGAATACACGCGATGACAGCGTAGACGAGAAGAAGGCCGATCAAGACCTTCAGGTGCTCGTTGTACTTGAATCGCATCGGGATCGGGAACAGGATCGATTGAATCAACTGACCCTTCGTCGTATGCGCACCAGTTGTCTGTACAATCGCCAGAATCTCCTCATTGCGACCCGAAGACAAGACGCGAGTACCAGCGAACAGCGTGTGCTTCTTGCTGCCCTTCTCAGGGTCATACACTTCCGAGCTGCGTTCAGGGATCGGGAACTTCTGCACCGGCATCGATTCACCGGTCAACATGGACTCGTCACACACCGTCGTGCCCTTCACGATGGCCATATCGCACGGCACCACCCAGTTCTCCGATACCTTCACCAGGTCACCAGGTGCCAAATCGGGAGAGGACAACACTCGCCACTCACCGGCACGGAACGCCGTCACATCCGTGCGATAACGGGTCATCTTGACAATCGACGACTGGATCTGACGCTGCGTGTAGATGTTAACCACGGCGGCACCCAGCACCACGACCGTCATGACAATCCCCATGTTCCAGTACGTGAAGTAGTACCAGACGTAGTAGCACATGATCTGGTAGATGTAGAACAGAGTGAAGAACTCCTGCGCCATGGACACTGGCAGCGACGGCATCTCCACGTCAACGGAGTTCGATCCGACCGTGTTGATTCGATGTCTCGCTTCGGTATCCGATAGTCCGCTGGCTTGTTGTTGCATGTCGTCGTAGGTGCGACCGAGTGCGACGACACCAGGCACAAAGCGCTGTTCGGTCTCCTCGTACACGTATCGGGTGTGCTGGAACTCGACAATTCGGAGTCCATCTACCTCCACCACCGGAACAGTCGTACGGTATCCGCTGATCTTTCCCTTGGAGGCGAAGAAGCTCTCGACTTTAGCTACGAAGTCCGACACACCCGATCGATCAGCTAGCAATACCTCGGTCTCGTCACGCTTGAACATGTAGACGAACTCGCATTTGTTGAGTGGGGTACGTTGCCGAAAGAAGTTAAGGATACGATCTTGCGCCGACATAATGCCCACGAACCAGACGAGAGCAAAGACCCACACTACGAAGAAAATTGCCGTGCTGTCCTCCCTTGAGTCGAAAAGCGGTGGGTCAAAGTTGCGATAGAAGTCCGCAATAATTGTAATGAGAAGTGCATGTAAGCCAACCGATGCCACCACCAAGCAGCTGAACACGCACGAGCCGAAGAACGAATTGGAGAAACCTATCTGCAGAATTTTCTCACTGGCTGTCGCTTGCATTTGCACATCTGAGGCGCGAATGCTCGTACGACGGCCATAGGTCTCACTCGCGCCAAGCATAGGGAAAGTATGAGGCGTCGCCAGCAACTTCTTATCGATATCCTTGGCCAGCTGCGTGTCTCTCTCATGAAAGAGTGTATACGCTTTCCAAACTCCAAGTAATGCAAACAGCGAGAGGTACACGAGGTAAATGATGACCAATGGCGTCTCCATGAAAGTAGTGAATCTGACTGTGGGCAGCACAGCGGTAGGATTAGCCGAGCACGCAGCCTTCAGATCCGTGTCAACTGAGCCGTCTCGAAGCATGAGGCTGAAGCAGTTCGCGCCCAAAGGGAATGAAGCATTGTTGTTCCGCCAGTTGCCTTGATATGTCCAAAAGACGGTGCTGTCTTGCGAAGCAGTAGTAGTGATGAGTTACTCTCAGCGCATTGAAGTTCCTCGGTGAGCTTGCCTGTCGCTGTATTCGCTACGGCTTGCACTCGACACACCGTGCTGGGATCGGTGTAGTTGAATGGTGGCGTGCTGGGATGGTACATGGTGTAAGGGAAGTTCACTTGGCGCTGCTTCTCCCAACCGTCCACATAGTACGACTCGTAGTCACCCCCTGACGGACGATTGTACTTTGTGTAGAGCACCTTGATGGTCTCGGAGTACTCGCAGCAATAGTATTCGGGACTGTGGCGGACCGGACATGCAGCGAAGTTATCTTGACTTGCTAGAAGCAGCACGCACTTGCGAAAGGTGCTAGTGTGGCTAGTAGGAGCACTAAGTACCAGAGAGGCATCGGAAACAGTGTGAGATGTCAGTTCGCTGAAGCAGATTGTCGAATGACTCAGTGTGACTACCTGGTGCTGGGAGAGAGTGCAGCGTTCCTAATAGTGTTTCCGAGCGCCAGACCAGGCAAAGAAACTGTAATCATGAAACAGCACATGTGCCTATTCTACTTGGATGGTCAGAGTGCGTGAGTACTGTACCCAGTCACACGTAATGACGATAGTGCTAGACCATTTGAGAGTTTTATCAAGACACGTTATACTCGGACGGAGCAGGAGTAACATTCGTAATGATGATCTAACACTGTGATGGGTTTGATTGTATGACTAAGTACAGTGCACTACAACACGGAACACTACTAATACCCCCGCAGGGCATGTGCTGTCTTACTTCTTCATCGGGATCAGGTCCTTATGGTACTTGTTGCGGAAGTACGAGCGGACAGGACCGAGTACCACGAAGTACTCGAACAGGATGCACGTGAAGACGTTGCCGAGGAGCATGGCGAACAACTTGAGGCGGAAGCTCATGGGCATTGGAATGTCCGGCAGTCCAACGACGTTCGTGCCGCTCGAGATGCGGAAGCGATCGGTGACGATACTCGGCTCACCCAGAAGCATGTACAGGTCGAGCGCTCCGACCGCCGCGAAGAACGCGATGAGCAAATAGTTTTTCCAGATGGGTTGGCGGTACGTCGAGCCGAAGCTGAAGACCCATGCTCCAATGTGCTGCTGGAAAATAACCGAGAAGAACAGCGTCGTGGCCAGGTGGTTATCCGACATGAGCCACCACTTAGCAACATCCACATTGTCTGGGGAAAAGGGGCAGTACCAGATTTGACTTGAGAGCAGATGGATGCTGAAACACAAGTAGATGATGTTGATCACCTCCTGTCCGAGGATAGAGGACAGCGTGGTAGGTCCAATCAGGCTCGACGTCGGTCGCATATCCTTCAGTTCATCCAGTGGCTTGGACAACGTGATGACGTATGAACATCCAACCAGCATGAAACCCTCGACCAAGATCCAGCACCACTGTGAAAGATTGATGGCATGGTAATACATGAACAACCGAAGCACCGAACCGATGAGGCCGTACATGATGAGGAACTTGACGGACGCGAACGACGTCGCGACACTGCAACGGCCTTCACGGCACAGATCAACCACCGACTGGATCGTCTTCGACTTGCTCGTGAACGGCGACACAACTGAAGCTTCAGCGTCACTTAGAGCCACACCGCAGTGCGCGAAACGAAGAGCACCACAGTCGTTGCCACCGTCGCCGCACATACCAGTCACTGCTCCTGTCTCCATGTGCAGCTTCACACACTCCACCTTGCCGTCGGGTGTCATGCGACTGTAGATGCGGATGTGCAGTAACAACCCCTTGATCTCGCCCATGGACACCAGGTAGTCGAACGCCACACCCGTGACGGCCAGCTCCACGTCCTCGCCCCGTTCGACCAAACTCTTCACCGCAGGCAGGTCGTACTCTTCCTCCGAGTCCACGTCGCGCCACACCAACTTCTTGAACTCAGTCGTTGACACCATCTCACCCAAAATCACACGAGAGCTCGACGACACCATGCCGCTCTGGCGAGCAATGTAGCAGCCGCACATGGCGTTGTCACCCGTGATCATGACGGTGCGAATGTCGCCGGCCTTGAGCTTGGCGATGGCGTCGGCCGTGTCGTCCTTGAGCTCGTTACGGAACAGAATGAGACCCAGCAGCGACAGACTCTCGTCCACAGCCTCGCGGTCGTTGGCAAACTCGACAACTTGCTCATGCGTCCAGTCGCTCGGCAGCTCGCGGTACGACAGACCCAAAACGTAGCATCCGTCCTTGGCGAGACGGTCGGCCACGCTCTTGTAGTCCGCCGGCACACTGCCAGGTGTGCTCAGCTGTTGCATGCGCTCGTACGACCCCTTGCAGAACACATAGTACTTGCCACTCTTGCGGTTGCGCACCACGACGCTCATGGACATGCGGTGGTGGTCGAAGTCGTAGCGCTTGACGAACTCCAGTTCCAGTCCCGGGTCCACCTTCGACCTCACATACGGCTGTTCTCCTTCCTTCTCGACCAGCTCCCAACCCGTGGCCGTAAACATGCGCACCTCCACTTCGTTACCCACGAGACGGTCTTCGAGAGAGCCGACCGAGTGGCACGTCGTCAGGGCGTACAGAAGATCTTCAGACGACGATGCGTCCTTCACATCGTTGACAATGGGGGTGAAGAGGCCGTCCCTAACCGGTTGAACGCCGAGGAAGTCGAGTCCCTGCTTGGTGAGGGTGCCGGTCTTGTCGAAGCAGAAAATGCGCACCTTACCGGCGAGAGTGATACGTTGGACATTGAGTGAGAAAACGCCGAGCTTTTCGAGACGCTGGGAGGCGTTCACCTGGCCAACCGTGATGACAACGGGGAGGAGTGGACTGATGACGCACGACAGAACAAAGATGGCGTAGCAGAATGCGGCATAACGGTTGCTCAACTTGCCGTTGCTCAACAAGAAGTTGATCACAAGAATACACGCGATGACAGCGTAGACGAGAAGAAGGCCGATCAAGACCTTCAGGTGCTCGTTGTACTTGAATCGCATCGGGATCGGGAACAGGATCGATTGAATCAACTGACCCTTCGTCGTATGCGCACCAGTTGTCTGTACAATCGCCAGAATCTCCTCATTGCGACCCGAAGACAAGACGCGAGTACCAGCGAACAGCGTGTGCTTCTTGCTGCCCTTCTCAGGGTCATACACTTCCGAGCTGCGTTCAGGGATCGGGAACTTCTGCACCGGCATCGATTCACCGGTCAACATGGACTCGTCACACACCGTCGTGCCCTTCACGATGGCCATATCGCACGGCACCACCCAGTTCTCCGATACCTTCACCAGGTCACCAGGTGCCAAATCGGGAGAGGACAACACTCGCCACTCACCGGCACGGAACGCCGTCACATCCGTGCGATAACGGGTCATCTTGACAATCGACGACTGGATCTGACGCTGCGTGTAGATGTTAACCACGGCGGCACCCAGCACCACGACCGTCATGACAATCCCCATGTTCCAGTACGTGAAGTAGTACCAGACGTAGTAGCACATGATCTGGTAGATGTAGAACAGAGTGAAGAACTCCTGCGCCATGGACACTGGCAGCGACGGCATCTCCACGTCAACGGAGTTCGATCCGACCGTGTTGATCCGATGTCTCGCTTCGGTATCCGATAGTCCGCTGGCTTCTTGTTGCATGTCGTCGTAGGTGCGACCGAGTGCGACGACACCAGGCACAAAGCGCTGTTCGGTCTCCTCGTACACGTATCGGGTGTGCTGGAACTCGACAATTCGGAGTCCATCTACCTCCACCACCGGAACAGTCGTACGGTATCCGCTGATCTTTCCCTTGGAGGTGAAGAAGCTCTCGACTTTAGCTACGAAGTCCGACACACCCGATCGATCAGCTAGCAATACCTCGGTCTCGTCACGCTTGAGCATGTAGACGAACGCGCACTTGTCGAGTGGCACACGGACACGGAAGAAGTTGAAGATGATGTCCTGCTTCGCCACGATCACGACAAACCAAAGGGAAGTGATGACCCACACGATAATGAACACAAGAGCATTGTCCTCAGACGTGTCGAAAAGCGGAGGGTCAAAGTTGCCGTAGTAGTCGCAAATGATTATGATGAGGATCACGTTCAATGCGAGAGACGCCACCACCACACAACCAAAGACAAAGTTGCCTAGATACGAAGGGGAGAAACCCGTTTGCAGAATACCCTCGGCAGCTTCGATCTGCATGCGAGTATCGGAGACACGGACACTCGTGTGGCGGCCGTTGGCATTGCCCGCGACTGCACGCGACGGCGTCTGGGGCGTGTTAATGAGTTTCTTGCTCATCTCGTTTACCGACTTGTTTGCGTTCTGCATGAAGTTTTTGTAGACCGTCCAGCCTCCGAGGATGACAAAGAAGGCCAGATACAGCAGGTAGATGATGACCAACGGAGTCTCCGTAAACGTAGTGAATCGAGGCTCGACAGTTGAAGACGTGGATATACATGCGTCCATCAGATCCGAGTCGACTGTGCCGTCACGAAGCATGATGCTGTAGCAAGTGGCACCAACGGGGAACGTAGCGTTGTTGTTGCGGACGTTAGCTGCATACGTCCAGAAGACGGTGCTGTCTTGAGACGCTGCTACGAGGGACGAGTTGGTGTCGGCACACTGCAATTCTTCAGTGAGCACGCCCGTTGCCGTGTTGGCCACGGCCTGCACTCGGCAGATCGTGCTCGGGTCGTCATAGTAGAACTCTTGCGTCGTAGGATGGTACATAGTGTACGGGTAGTTCACTTGACGCTGCTCGTTCCAACCGTCGACGTAGTACGACTCGTAGTCGCCGCCCGACGGGCGGTTGTACTTGGTGTAGAGCACCTTGGTGGTCTCCGAGTACTCGCAGCAGTGATATTCTGGACTGTGGCGCACCGGGCAAGCGGCGAAGTCCATTTGGTCAGCCGCTGCAGCGCGTACTTGAGTGGGAACTAACGTGGCCAGAGCCATCGTTGGCAGGAGCATCGAACTCCAGCGAGGCATCTTTTTTGTAGTAGACACTGAGAATTGTGCTTGATGTGAGGAAGTTTCGATGTGAGCTCGCCGATGCAAATTGCCGAATGATTGGACTTTGGGCGTGGAAAGTAGGGTATCCAGATAGAGCACCACCGTCTCTGTAACAGCTACAGAAAGGCCACGGTTTCGGTGCTGGGACTTCTCAGTTTGAACATCCAAACAAAAAGGTGAGGCGTTGGGGGTTATGCTGGGGGCTGGTGAACTGAGAGAACCGGTAGCAAGAAGTAGAAAGTAAGGCAAATGCGTTAAAGTATATTATTATAAACGCGGGACTTGGATGTGCCCATGTAGATTTTGAACCTTCACTTTTCTGCCGACCCAGGCAATCGCTGCTTGTTGATGTACTGTAGATAGGACGAGGATCTGCACCTTGGACGTTTAGACGAGCTGCGATGATCGCAGTGCGATCTATTGAAAACAAAAACGCCGTTAAGTTTACGACGGGATCAAACATTTCCCTAAGCGCTTGATCAAAGCGGTTTCCTTCAGCAACTTGAAAGCAGGCCTGGTCTGGTATTGCCAGAGTACCATGGTACTTTACAGTTAAGTGTATAGTTCTGTTTTCCCAATGCTGGAGTCGTGAAAGTTTTGGCCGTGAATGCACCGAACTTTCAAGAGTACGGTGGGAATTTTTGTCAGCGTCGTTGGCTTTTATCTTGTCTTGCAAATCAGACCACTCGTGCAGCGTGTTCCTAAAACCATGTTGCCTTTTTAGCTGGTACCGTACTTAAGTCCAGTACAGACTCCGCCCAGAAACTAAAAAGGGTGGACCTTCAAAATTCCCAAAGGATATCAAGTAATTTTCGGCTATTAATTCTTGCAATATTATATTATCACGTTTACTCTGGCTGATAAAGCTGAAAGTAATATGAGCGCGTTTGCAAGGGTATAAGTTGTATGTGCTTTTTGGGGGGGTGGAGTTTGTACTGTACATGTACATACATGACTGTAAATTTTACAGTGTAAAACAAAAAAGCACGGCGACGATCCAGATGAACTGCGACGCAACCACAAGTATCTAGCAGCTGATACATGTTTTAATACGGTATGTACCGACAATCCTCTTTGTAGTAGTACCGTCGGGAAGCCATCACTACCGCTATCCAAAGCTGTACCATTACAAGGTACCATATTTTTTGCTGTCATTGGACTATATCACAGCTCTAAAGCTGGAGTGCGCCAAGCCCTTACGAGCTTCGCAATAGTAGACCCGCACCCTTATCTATGAGCTGCTGGAAGCACACGGTTTTGGTTACGAGAGTTGTGAATACTACGTATCAGAGTAAGAGTCCTGAAGGGGAGGACACCATGATGATGTCGCAGTAGCAAAGCCTGATGTCTATCGAACAGCAAGAGAGCGTAGTCGTAAACGAGCCGATTGACAAAATGTGTGGCTCAATTCTCTTAAGTTAAGGACCTCTCGATAATAATAATCGTCGATTTTGTATCACTAAGTACAATCTGGTAGAGTAGTTTTGACTTGGGCATGTTCTTTTAACTACCAGTACTGTAGCAGAATCACGTTAACCTCCTTAAGAGGGTATCACTATTTGGGATATCACTGTAAAGAGGATTGTCTCTACGTGGCCCGATGGAAATCCCTTTTAAATACAGTATCAATGGCAAAGTACTATTAATAAATGGGTTTATAATGCCAACTGCATTTTCTTTTTTAATTATTTTTTTAAATGTCTCGTGAAAAAAGCTTTTAAGGTTTTAAAATAGCTGTTTCTGCTCGACGCTTCTTTGTAAAATAACCGCAGCGGTTTTTTATTATTGCAACGCGAGCTGTTGGAATTGCAATCATCATGATGCAACCAACACACAGCTATCCCACAGTGTAACCCAGGTTGGGGTGCCGTAGCAGACAGGTTTTACCCGAACAGTACATGTATAAATGCGGGGGCCGGTGGAGTGCAACTGCAACGAGAATCTAAAGCAGTGCATCGCTTTAGCGGAGACTTATCTCGTGATTGTCTCCCCGAAGTAGTGAGTGGAAAAAGTATGCGAGGATCTCCAAAATTAGTTCTGGTTCTGGTAAGAACCTTTGATATTCAGTACTAAGATTGTTAGAGCCCGCAAATCATTTAGACAGGGTTTGGAATTACATGTAAGATATGAGTTTACGCCTTTTACTAATACGAATTATCGAGAGGCGTATCTAAACTCGTCGCTTTAAATTTACTAGAGCACTAATATTATTTCCGCTAGTTAATGTGGAACCCAAGCAGCCACAAGTATCTCAATCATCCCTGCAGTAGCGTGCCGTCGAACCCATTCGTTCCTTCTGCGAATCCGTAGAGCCTATAAGGGAGATTCGGTCGAAACTTGTGAGGGAAATGAGACTCACTGTCTGACGAATGATGGCATACTCCCACTTTATTTAGGACTTGGAACCGCGGAAATTCTAGAGTTGACTCTTTGCGCATCAATTAAAATAATTTATTTTTATGGCTTTTATTGGATTTGCAAAGTATTAGACATTTAATCAACGCATGCAAGCGCTACTGTTTTAGCATTTAAAGCACTTTAATGAGCTGCTTTACTACTATTTTAGTACACCTAAAAATAATGTCAATTATAATACCCTGCCTACTGTTCAATTTAGTTCTGTTGAACAAGATTGGAGAATCAGCACGTTTCCGCAATGATACCGGCCTCAGTGCAAACTGTAAAAAGTTCCATCGCTTTATAAAATGTTAGCAGTTTAATAGCACGGCGATGACTTGTGACCACCGATATATGCATGTAATAGCGTTTTTTTATTGTGAAGACGGGGGCTACCGGCATACGAAACGGTTGAATCCATCACATCGCTCTGTACAATGTATACAGTTCTGTGCGTTCCCAGTGGGCACTGCCCACCCAACATTGGCCCGATGGCAATGTCATTGGCATTGGGTGGGCCATCAAACCTTCAGTTGGTAAAGTATTCTTGAAGTCTTCAAGTGTACCAGCTGAATGTTTGGACTCCAAACTTTGGAGTGACAATGATGCGTTTTTTTCTGCCTCTCGGGGATCTTATGTTGAAGTGCAAGAGCGCCTCAGAGCCTCCTGCTAGTTGTATCGGTACTCTCGAGGCTCGAGTCGAGCCTCAGTCCTCAATTTGCGAGCTGAAGTACAGCAAGTCGCTCACTATTAATAACCATCCATTTTATGTGAATACAGGCTAAAGCTCACGTGTTCTATAATAAGACTGGTGCTGGTAAGAGTTTTTCGCCGGACTATGCACAAAGGATACTCTTCATTGGACAAATTAAGTTCTTTATCGCAGTACCGTGTTTCCTACACCGTGTTGAGCACACAGTCGGTGGGCAGGGGAGCTCATTGCCGCGTCCTGCGAGTTGCCCCAGCGCCACGCAAACGTTGATGAATGCCTCTGAGTCTCCAGGCTGGAGCCCAGCACCATCCCACGATGTCACCCTGAATGGATGGGACAGCAGGCATGAGAGGCATAGATGCGGCAGGATGAACACCTTGAGGCTCGAGTCGAGCACAGACTCTGTATTAATAACCGTCGCTCTGTGACAGAGCGACGGTTATTAATACTGTACCGGTAATGGGCGCCATTGTGAATTGTGACCTCCAGCTGTGCATGGGCCGTGTCACTATGGCATCTTTGGCAAAGATTATTTGCAGACCGCGCCGTAGTTACAATATGATGTGTCTCAATCGCATGCAGCGAGAACGCCTCGATTGCACGAGCCTACAGCAGTGTCAGTGCGACTCAATATCGTCGCGAAGGTCGAAGCAAGGTTCCACAACAGGGATACTGTAGCAAGGAGCGAGCTACGCAAAACAAAACATGTTTTACGTCGTCGCAAACACGGTGAGCGTGTGTCGCGATCTGAGGCTGGGTGCCAGTACATGTACAGCGTCTTTATGCAGTGTCCATGTACTTAAAGTAGCATTCACTGTACTGTATGACAGCCACCATCGAGGTACGAGGAGCATACGCTTTTCTAGCCAAAAATAAACACTTTTTGGTGAACGGTAGACATAATTGACACGACCAAACACTGAACTGACCGCTGGCATACACTTTTCTGACCACTAGCAAACACTTACCGAGCCTTAGGCTCGGTCTTATATCTGCCCACAATAGCGGGATGGGATGCCTGCAATTTCGAGAATCCGCAGGACTTCCAACCCGGTGTTATAGACAGGTGGCTCCGAACCGCCACTGGCTCGTGTCGGCGGTGACGATTGGATTTGAGATGAGCGGGATTTGTGTATCCCAAGACCGTGCCACAGTGGGACGAGAAGGGGTGTCAACCCTACAGGTCATCCCAATGGTCCATCCCTCTTTTGGGACGATATAAGACTGAGCCTTAAAGAAAGGACGTGGGATTTCACCTCTTTTACGTACGTCTGCACTTTCCGTGCGGAACCTGCACAAAACGGGCGAAACGCTCATAATTACCAATTACCTGACTTGGTCAATTAATTCTGAACCGCTGGTTTACATTTCCCCGACTTTGTCAATTAATTCTGAACCGCTGGTTCACATTTACCTGACTTTGTCAAGTGAACATAATAATGCTAACCACCAAATCGATAGAAAAGGTACTAAATTTGCATGGAAAAACGTTTGGTGCTAAGCACAGTTTTTATTTGTCCTAAAGAACACATTTGTAGGGATATTAAAAAACTTAAGCCCGCTTACGCTGAATTTGTCTCTACTACTCCGTCTAGCAAATAATTCTGAACCTCAGCCTAAAGGGTCAGATACTCTCCTACCTGACCACCACCCAAACGTCTGCACGATGCCCCCCAAACTCTTTGGGACCAAGCGTGCCAAGCTGCATGTCGAGTCCGACTTCGTCAAGTATCGATGGGATCATTTTTGCTGCTCGAGCATTTTTTCAGTGAGAGCAAAATGGTGCAGCATTTGCGCAGGCGACCACGAAATGGTCGAGCGCCGCCTGCAATGTAAGAGCCCGACTTGCGGAGGATCGGGGTTGCCGAAGAAGTGTGCAGTGCAATGGAAAGTTCAATACTGCGAAGTCTCGTCGACGTGGGTCGTTCTCGAGAACACTGAGAGGCATTCACGAGGCGATACGCCGTGTGCTGTAGGACCACGCCCACGCGTTACTCCTGAAATGCGGGAGTACATGAAACGCATGGATGAGAGCGCAGTACCACCACGCTTAATATGGAGTAATAACTTGTGACGATAGCGGAAGACTACTCTATATGCCTTCCCACGTCTGTAGCGGGCGGTCGAATTACACCGCCCAAGGAGGCTACACGATTGGCAAAAGTATTGGTTTCAACGAGTCGGGTGGCTATGTACGCTACCCCCACGCCTTCGGTGGTACGTGTTTTATATGTTGGCGATGATCGAGAGATCCCTACAGAGGTGAATGACATCTCGTCGCTTTCAGACGACGTTCCTCTCAGCAGTGAGCGTCTCGCTTCGTTAATTTCCCCCGAGTGCCTTCAAGATGAGAAAAACAAAAGGCGGCGAGCTTTTACAGGTCTGCTGTTAAGTGGTCAGTGCGTCGAGCCCACCACGTTGGTATGCCCAGAGAGGGGTGGGTGGTGCGAACAGACTCCAACCAGTGCTCCTGCTACTACTATGAAAAGTTTTTGTCTTGCGCGCACATTATTTGCGGTCGCGCTGCGTACGGTCTCAGCGTTCCTGGCGTCAACGGATACCAACTAAAATTTAAAGATCGACGGATTCGACGAAATGTACAAGGTCAAGGTAGGTGGATCAAGAATTTGGTGCCAATGTACAGAGGACTCAGATGACATTGCCGGGGGTTTTACCCGCACTACCCTTAGCTATCCCGGATCATTTGCATTGCGGTCCGATACGCTATCCCTCGGGTCTTATGCTAGATTCATACGTTCCCAACCAGATTTTGGAGTGCGGGTGCGGTGGGAGTAAACCCCGAGGCATGGGATACGCGCCTTCCGGGTAATTACCAGTACGATACGTGGAGCATCACCCCTCAATACCTGACACCAACCGTGGCCCTGCCCTTGAGGCATACGCGGGGTAGACCTCCGCTAGCATCCCCAGCGCTAGATGCTCAATACGTACTACGGTGAGCTCAGCATACGAATAACATTTTCTTAGTTGAATGACACATTGCTTTGAATTCTATTGTGAACAAGTCTTGTACTAGCTGTAGTCTTACCTAAGCGTGGCATCACGCTCGGTAAAACAAACCTCTGTTACGAGTTGCTAGTCTACTAGTACATGTTGTCGTACGGACAAGTAAGTGTTCACAATAAAGGTAAACTGTTAAATAATTGTCAACATTAGAGTTTATAATTACGTGCCAGTGTAACTTAATTGTGAACTCTCGGCCCACAATTAATTGACTAGATCGCATTATTGTAAACCGCAGCCCATCTAGAACTTGGCACATAATTTTAGCACTGTCATTTAGTTATGAGGAGCTACATTGTGTGATAGTATTAGAAATTTAAAGTACTTAACCGAATAGGACCGGTCACTATAAAAAAATCCTTCGGACCGGTTCACTTTAAAGAAACATTCAATTTCCTCACTTCTTCCCACTCGGCACCCCCTGAGCTAACGAAATGACCCAGAAGACGAGAGTGAGGGACCAGTGGGCGACCATTCAGTCCTGGAAGCGTCACCCCGGGTGGTCAACTGCGGATGCTGTGCGCCATCTCGGAATCGCCCGACCGAAGCTCCTTACTTGGAAGAGAAAATACTGGAACATGCTGGAGCCACCAGAGGAAGATGGCCAGCGCTATCGAGTGAAGGGAGCGGGGCGTCCGTACAAGCTGGCAAGCTACGAGTTTCAGGCCTTGGAGTACTACGACAGAAGTTTGCGGGAGGACGGAGTGGTGCACTACGCAGACTTCCTGCGATACCTAAGAACTATTCCTGAATTTGCCATAATACACAGGGAAACGCAACGATCGCGAGCAAGACGCTTCATGAAACGATACGACCCCGGTAGCGAAGAGGCTGGGGCCGCAAGAGCTGCTGTTAATGCCGGTGATCCTGCGCTACACGTGGAAGCTGGTACAAGTGGAGATGCAAATGCAGACAAATCATACCCCGTATCAGATGTCGCTCTCTGCGAATCAGGCGAAGGCCCTAACCCGGAATCAGTCGAAGATTCCGCTCCGATTCCATCGGATGCATCAGTTTTAGAATCAGACTTGGAGCTCCCAGGACCAGTGGCTAGCGTTGAATCAGGGGTGGAATCAGAAAAGAGAAAAAAGCCTCGATTTTGCCTTGAAAATCCAACTGGAGATCCCGACACCAAGCTCCTGCAACAGAGTGCCGCCCCATACAGCCTGCAGCCACGAATTAACCTATTTGTACCTGTACGCATCTACCCCCACGCCGCAGGTAGGTCCGCAGAGCTTGTCTCGATTCCACTCTTCGCTGATGACATCGCCAGCGTAAAGGAAGGAGCTCCGATTACTAGCTCCGTGGTTGACTATTGTACCTCTCGTTACACAAAACCCGAACCAGAGCTCATGTTACCTGCAAGATCGGCTGTATTTTCCGCCATTAACTACGCCTACATCAAGCACTCGGGTCGGGAGTCCAGCGCCCCCGACACAATTGGTGATTTCGATTGGAGTGGATACAAATATGTATTACTGCCTGTGGCGTTTAACGACCACTGGAGCGTTGTAATTATCCAGAATGGCAGTGACGCAAAAAAGATATATTATCACATCGACTCGCTTCACAATGGTCACGACAAGGAGTATATTTCGCGTGTCTGGACTGGTGGTTTGCGGTTCTACACACGAGCCGTGGGAGATTCGAGGCAGCCAGGGGGTTTTCCTACACCTGCAAGCCCCGCCCGACTAATGCGGTAGATTGCGGCATATATATGCTGCACTACCTTTACAAGGTCGCCCAGCATATCAAGCAGCACAAGCCAAGTTCCATCCTGCTGCAGATTGAGACGCTTGCCAAGGGTGGCTTCAATGCCAGCAAGGCCAACCAAGCCAGGACGTCTCTGCTTTCTCAGCTCACAAAGACTATGTAAAAGCTAGCTACTAGGACACAGATTTACTGAATTAAGTCGTTTAAAATGACAATTTTTCTCTTCTCCGTTGATGTACGGCTTGCGCAAGCTAGGTAGGCCTCTCATGCCTCGGAGCCCATGGAGCATGGACCCGCTCTAAACTCGAGCAAATGAAGACACGCTGCCCACAGGAAACAAAAGCCATGATTTGCTGTGCAGCAGCGTGCTCGGCGTCGTGCAAACGCTTCTACGTGTGAAAGTGTATACTGGCGGGTATTTTGTGGTGTCTACTGAGGCCGAATCTCATTCTAATGTGGGCTTTCACACTCGAGGTACAGTGTACAGTACAGTTGACAAGGCCCTTAGCGAGATTGCTCTTCAAAGGGGGGGGGGCAATGTATTGACTCTTCGATTAACTACAAAACGAACTTGCTAAGTAATTTTTAGGATAAATAACGCTACGCCGAAGCGAAAAATCCACAGAGGCCTGAAGTAGGCCATTTTGATCCAGGACGGGCCTGGACCCGAGATTGCTCTTCAAAGATGCACTTCCTGCGACATGTGCTGGTTCGAGCAGCGATTATTGGCATTTTAACTAACAGGACTCCAGCCGCTTGTGCGTAGTATTAATAGCACAAGCACTGCTACATGTACACGTCTCCGTCTTCGCACGACACCCTCGCCAGCCATTTACTTTCTTCGCTGCTCAGCCCCATCAATTTTCCGCTCGCCGCCAGCCTGTCTATGGATTGGTCCGAGCGTCGAAAACATGTCTGCGAAAGTCTCACCAGTCCATGGATACTGGGGTTCGAACGCGATGTTTGGATGCGTGTGCAAGTCCCATTCGATGTTTGCAATCAATGCCTAGCACACCCAACCAACCAAAGTATCTTCCTCATTTCCCACCACCAGATTGTCAAGATGCCGTGCTGGAGCTCAGTGCTTCTGTCAACGCTGGCTCTTCACTCATGGGAAGCTTACGTCACGTAGCGACTTGGTGTTTTTCCGTAACAATACCCTAAGATCGCTACAGCTTGCTCCCCTTGCAAATGCATTCCTCCAGTGCCAAGCAACGCGCTTGTCCGATCCGACACAGTCCTAAATTCTATTGCTGCGAGTACTCGGAGACTACCACAGTGGTCTACACCAAGTACAATCGACCGGTTGGCGGAGACTACGAGTCGTTCTACATCGATGGCTGGAACAAACAGCGCCAAGTGAACTACCCGTACGTCATGTACGACACACAGACGCCTAAATTCTACTACAACGACCCCAGCACAATCTGTCGAGTGCAGGCTTATAGCCAAGCCGGAAACGGGCCAGTTGACGGGAGAGTTACAGTGTGCCGACTTCAATTCATCATTGATAGCTGCGTCGCAAGACAGCAAGCACTCTCATGTTGCGTGACGACTCTGTGGATTCGGATTTTAAGGATGCTTGTATATCAACGTCCACAACCACGACCCCGCATTTCACCTCGTACACAGAGACTCCGCTAGTCATCATCTACTTTTTGTATCTCGCCTCCTTCTTGCTGCTCGGTGGTACAAGAACTTCAAGCAGACGGCCAACCAGTCCGTGAACGAGACGAACAAGAAGCTGGTTGCTACCCCACAGACGCCGTCAAGAGCTGTTGTGGGCGATGCCAATGGTCGTCACACGGGCGTTCGTGCCTCTGATACGCGAAAGCAGATCGAAGCCAGCGAGGGAAATTTACAGACACGGCTCTCAAACTCTTACCTCGGCACGTTCGTGTTTGGCTGTGTAGTGATTGCGTCGCTGGCTCTGAACGCTTCTCATCGTCATTATCGCCGACTATTACGCCCCCCCCCTCGTTGATGCGTCAGAGGACAACGCCGTCGTGTTCATCGTCATGTGGGTCATCATGTCGATCAGGTTTGTGGTTATCGAAGCGTTGAAAGATCGAATTTACAACTTCTTCCGTCTACGGGTGCCATTTGACAAGTGCGAGTTTGTCTACATGCTGAAGCGGGACGACACCGAAGTTCTTCTTGCGGATCGATCGGGTGTGTCGGACTTCGTAGCTAAAGTCGAGAGCTTCTTCGCCTCCAAGGGAAAGATCAGCGGATGCCGTACGACTGTTCCGGTGGTGGAGGTAGATGGACTCCGAATTGTCGAGTTCCAGCACATCCGATACGTGTACGAGGAGACCGAACAGCGCTTTGTGCCTGGTGTCGTCGCACTCGGTCGCACCTACGACGATATGCAACAAGAAGCCAGCGGACTATCGGATACCGAAGCGAGACACCGAATCAACACGGTCGGATCGAATTCCGTTGACGTGGAGATGCCGTCGCTGCCAGTGTCCATGGCGCAGGAGTTCTTCACTCTGTTCTACATCTACCAGATCATGTGCTACTACGTCTGGTACTACTTCACGTACTGGAACATGGGGATTGTCATGACGGTCGTGGTGCTGGGTGCCGCCGTGGTTAACATCTACACGCAGCGTCAGATCCAGTCGTCGATTGTCAAGATGACCCGTTATCACACGGATGTGACGGCGTTCCGTGCCGGTGAGTGGCGAGTGTTGTCCTCTCCCGATTTGGCACCTGGTGACCTGGTGAAGGTGTCGGAGAACTGGGTGGTGCCGTGCGATATGGCCATCGTGAAGGGCACGACGGTGTGTGACGAGTCCATGTTGACCGGTGAATCGATGCCGGTGCAGAAGTTCCCGATCCCTGAACGCAGCTCGGAAGTGTATGACCCTGAGAAGGGCAGCAAGAAGCACACGCTGTTCGCTGGTACTCGCGTCTTGTCTTCGGGTCGCAATGAGGAGATTCTGGCGATTGTACAGACAACTGGTGCGCATACGACGAAGGGTCAGTTGATTCAATCGATCCTGTTCCCGATCCCGATGCGATTCAAGTACAACGAGCACCTGAAGGTCTTGATCGGCCTTCTTCTCGTCTACGCTGTCATCGCGTGTATTCTTGTGATCAACTTCTTGTTGAGCAACGGCAAGTTGAGCAACCGTTATGCCGCATTCTGCTACGCCATCTTTGTTCTGTCGTGCGTCATCAGTCCACTCCTCCCCGTTGTCATCACGGTTGGCCAGGTGAACGCCTCCCAGCGTCTCGAAAAGCTCGGCGTTTTCTCACTCAATGTCCAACGTATCACTCTCGCCGGTAAGGTGCGCATTTTCTGCTTCGACAAGACCGGCACCCTCACCAAGCAGGGACTCGACTTCCTCGGCGTTCAACCGGTTAGGGACGGCCTCTTCACCCCCATTGTCAACGATGTGAAGGACGCATCGTCGTCTGAAGATCTTCTGTACGCACTGACGACGTGCCACTCGGTCGGCTCTCTTGAAGACCGTCTCGCGGGTAACGAAGTGGAGGTGCGCATGTTCACGGCCACGGGTTGGGAGCTGGTCAAGAAGGAAGGAGAACAGCCGTGTGTGAAGTCGAAGGTGGACTCGGGACTGGAACTGGAGTTCGTCAAGCGCTACGACTTCGACCACCACCGCATGTCCATGAGCGTCGTAGTGTGCAACCGCAAAAGTGGCAAGTACTATGTGTTCTGCAAGGGGTCGTACGAGCGCATGCAACAGCTGAGCACACCTGGCAGTGTGCTGGCCGACTACAAGAGCGTGGCCGACCGTCTCGCCAAGGACGGATGCTACGTTTTGGGTCTGTCGTACCGCGAGCTGCCGAGCGACTGGACGCATGAGCAGGTTGTCGAGTTCGCCAACGACCGCGAGGCCGTGGACGAGAGTCTGTCGCTGCTGAGTCTCATTCTGTTCCGTAACGAGCTCAAGGACGACACGGCCGACGCCATCGCCAAGCTCAAGGCCGGCGACATTCGCACCGTCATGATCACGGGTGACAACGCCATGTGCGGCTGCTACATTGCTCGCCAGAGTGGCATGGTGTCGTCGAGCTCTCGTGTGATTCTGGGTGAGATGGTGTCAACGACTGAGTTCAAGAAGTTGGTGTGGCGCGACGTGGACTCGGAGGAAGAGTACGACCTGTCTGCGGTGAAGAGTTTGGTCGAACGGGGCGAGGACGTGGAGCTGGCCGTCACGGGTGTGGCGTTCGACTACCTGGTGTCCATGGGCGAGATCAAGGGGTTGTTACTGCACATTCGCATCTACAGTCGCATGACACCCGACGGCAAGGTGGAGTGTGTGAAGCTGCACATGGAGACAGGAGCAGTGACTGGTATGTGCGGCGACGGGGGCAACGACTGTGGTGCTCTTCGTTTCGCGCACTGCGGTGTGGCTCTGAGTGACGCTGAAGCTTCAGTTGTGTCACCGTTCACGAGCAAGTCGAAGACGATCGAGTCGGTAGTTGATCTGTGCTGTGAAGGCCGCTGCAGTGTCGCGACGTCGTTCGCGTCCGTCAAATTCCTGATAGTCTACGGCCTCATTGAGTCCGTTCTCCGATTGTTCCAGTACTACCACGCCGTCGTTATGTCTGGATCCTCGCGGTCGGCTTCACACTCGTGGGCTGTTTGTACGTCATCACGTGGTCTAAGCCACTGAAGGAGCTGAAAGACACCCGTCCGACGTTCAGTTTGATCGGACCCAGCACGTTGTTGTCGATCTTCGGTCAAGAGGCCTTCAACGTCCTTTACTCCACATGCTCACGAGCGAAGTTTGGTATTGTCCGTTCTCCCCGGACGACGTCGATGTGGCCAAGTGGTGGCTGCTCTCGGACAATCACATGGCGACGGTGCTCTTCTTCTCAATTATCTTCCAGCAGCACACGGCCGCGTGGACATTCAGCTTCGGCTCGATCTACCGTCAGCCAATCTGACGCAATTACCTGCTCTTGGCCTTCTTCGCCGCTGTCGATGCTCTCGACCTGTACCTGATTCTTGGAGAGCCAAGCTCCCTCACCGACCAGTTCCGTATTTCGAGTAGCACGAACGTCGTCGGACTGCCGGACGTGGCGATGCCTATGAGTTTCCGTCTCAAATACTTTGCTATCATCATGGGGAACCTGTCCCCACCAGCATTCTGTCCGAGTACTTTGTGGTGCTGGGGCCTGTGCGGACATATTTCTGAGAGAGATTCCGATGCGAAAGTAGGCAAAAAGTGTGGTCCATCTGAGAATAGAGACGAATGTCGAGCTTTTTAAATCTGACGTAAGTTCTATGAAGGGCTTTCTTCCCGCGTGTAGTTTACTTGCAGTCTTCTAGATCCATGCGGCAGGTAGGAACGATCTTGTCCACTTGTGGCTATTGCCTCGTGACTTGATAAAGTTACTCAGTGTGGCTTCTCGTTGAGACAAAGGACCAAGAAACTCACGGAAGGTGGGCTCTGCAGTATCTTCCTGGTGCTTCGCCAGCATCGTCTCTCCGTTGTAGATATGACACGCAATCACCGACAGCAGTGGCAGATTTCGATCAAGACTCGAGCCAAGTGCCAGATGCGCATCGAGAAACTTGGTTGATGCACCAACGCGGCCGAGAGTTTCGCAAGCAAAGGCGAGATTCACGAAGCTAAAAAAACTGCATGCGGTTGTGTCTCCACGAGTCGTCGTCCAGAGCAGCTCCAGAATGTGGTCAGCTTCGCACTCCGACACCAGCAACACGTCGCCATTCGTGAACACCAACACGACATCAATCACTCGAAGGAACTCGTTCAAGCATCTCGCATCACTTCGCGTCTGGATTGTCGTGCAGAAATTGATCGTTCCGTAAATGTGGGTGCTGGTCCAGTCGAGATCTCCCATTTCTCTCGGAGAGATCGATCGACGTATGAATTTCGAGATCTCGAGCACTTGGACAGCTCCACTGAGGTCTCCAACTGACTTGGCCCTCAGGATTTTATCATACGCCCACCGCTTCTCTCTCGACGGAGAGCACTTTATCACTTGGAGTTCTCTTTCTTGTTGCACCTCCTCTTCAATCTGCAGCTCTCGCTCGCATTCATCGGTGTGGGACGTGATGCACACTTCATCGTCAAGGCCAAATACAAGCCCTCGACCACAGATCTCGTTGACCAGCTCATCAGCCGAGTCTTTGAAAGCCAATAGAGCCTTCGATCGAATCACTTGGGCCAACTTGTCAACGTGCAGCTTCTCTCGATACAACGTCTCAAGTTCCCAGTGTTCGTCGACCAGCTCTTTGTCTCGATTGAGCTGAGTCGTTCGGAAGTGGATCCCATTGCCAGCCCACTCGAGTAACCCACGCACCGCCTCCGTCTTAGTGTTATCCATGACCCAATTCAGCACATCGATTGCAGAAACGCTCGACAGCTCGCGTTGGCCACCAATCTGGAGAATACTCTGCGCAACCTCATCGAAGCTTGCAATCCAAAGACTCTGGCTGCATCCGAGCTGCCTCATGCGACCAGCTCCCTGCATCAGCTTGTCCTTGGTGAGTTTCGGTCCCAACGTCAATACAGCGGCGGCATCTGGAAGCAGCTTCATGTCGGAACCTCGTGAGCGAGCCTCGTCAAAGATGACGAACGTCTCCTTCTCCAACATCGACGACTTCTTCAGAGGCACCTCGATACGTCGAGCCTTCTCTGCGATCATCCAGCAGTTGTTCTCGTCCCGACTGTCGTAGTATGTCACGCCCGCGAATTCAAATTCACTCTGTTCAAGAAGGAACTTTGCTGCGTCGTGGTTTGCCACGCCAGCAAGTAGAGCCCCAGTGTCAATTAGAGCTTGTGCCTTCTTGTCCATGGCGAATAAAAGAACACTCTGCCATGGAATCGAAGAACGATCGGGGCTTGGATGAATCACCTCGTAGCTGTGAGTCACTTGCAGGATCTTGTCGATCATTTTTCCATTGGTGCCCAGCAACGAAGGCTCCTCTGGCTCACGCTGCGTCACTGAGAGAGGGAGGAGGCGGTGATTGTCGTTCGTTCCAGAGAATCCGATGTTGTTCGCTCCTGCAGCGAGATTCCACGCCGTTCTGGACAAACGTTGCGGGTACTGCTGTGTGTCCTTGGGAAATACGCACGTGTTGAGGTAAAAGTTGATGGCTCCCATAGAAAACCGATAGACCTGGCAGAGCGCTTCAAACTGCCGAGCATCGGCAAGACTGATGTGGCGTACATCACGCAAAGCCTTGCGAACTTCACCACTTAGACTCTCTTGAACCATTGATCGTACAACTGCTGCTGCTCCGAGATATCCAACCGCAACAACGTCTGAAACGTACTTCGAAGCTCCTTGTTAGTCAGGCCTCTGTGATAGTATCCCAGTAGTGTGAGAACGATGCAAACGTCAGGGTGGCTGAACTCTGATCTCTCTGAAGGCACATCAGCAGCACGGAATGGAATCGCGATTTTCTTCGGCCGTGAATGCGGGGGCGGAAGTCCGAAATTGACTCGATAGCGCTTCTCCAGACAGTGTTCGAGCACCCCAAACGCTACCAGTCCTCTCAACGCGAGCAACTGCGAAGTATAAGGTCTGAACTTGGACATGTGGGTACCAAGGGCTTGCTCCAAACTCACAGTCGACTCAGCTATCGCCCTCACAAGCGATTCTCGAGCTGCGGTCGAGCCAAAAGCGTTGAGCCACATCAATTCAAACGGAGCGCTGTCGATCAGATCCAGCACTAGAGCCCTCTTGAGCTCTTCTCGTCGTGATTTCGTACTCTCCACTACAGTGTTCAGCCGAGTTCCATCATAAGCACCTAAACGTGTTGAATAGTCTGGCGAGACACAGGAAACATGCGAAGCCTGAAGCACGGCAGCGACTCGAGAGCCAAGAGATCGATCCGCCACCACCCGTAAAAGCGCCTCTGCAGCCTTCCAACGCTCAACGCCACTACAAAGAGGGATTGGCGTGCCTACTGCATACACCACGTGATATTTGTGGTGAAGAAGAGCGTCGCACTCGTCCAGAACGTCGACAAACTGATCGCCGTCAAGAATTTCGTCGAGCACTTCAACGATTGGGCCTTCATTTCCCAACTCTAATCGCTTCAGCTCCAGTGACATGCGATGCTCGGGAGCCACCAACTGAACACCACCAAAACGCTTTAACTCTTCAAGGTTATCACGAATAAACTCGAGTCTGCGAGCATTCAAGTCGATCTGCCGGTGGAATGGCTGCTCGAACACACCCAAGTGCGCGCTGGATGCCGACAAATAGCGGTGCATGAAGTGCCGCGCCTCACTCAGTAAAGGACTCAAGAAATGCGCACGAATGACTCGAGGACAACGACGTAGCGTAAAATGCAGAAACAGCATCGGGAGAATCACGCGAGTCTTGCCACGACCCATGTTAAGCTGGCAGACGGTTCCGGGGCCATTGATGAGATGTTGCGCAATGACGAACTGCTCGTGGCGGATCTGAAGTCTCCCTTCCACCTCAAACGCCAACCAGTACGGGAATTCTACCGACTGCCACTGACGAATGTTCACGAGTTCATCTACCAGCTGAGCATCTGACAACTCGTCACCGCGCGTAGCCTTCCAGATTAGCCTCTCCAGTTTGTCTTCTAAAACGCACAACTCCATGTACTTGAGAACTGCTTTCTTGAATTCTTCTCTAGACTCCTCGCTCAACTTTGGCGTAAAAGTATGCTGCGTTTCCTCATCAAATCCACACTGGACTATATCAGTTACCGTAAGTATCGGCAAATAGTTAGCGAGAGCGAGAAGTTGATCACGCGTACTGCTTGTAGCCTTAGAATAAGATTCCCTTAAGTATGATTCCATCTCGAAGCGGCGGCTTGATACCTCACTGAGCAGCGACGTAAATGATCCGACCAGCTCTTTCGGTGACGTCATGAGCGTCGGTTCGACTTGGGAATGGAAATTTTCCCAGCTCATCTGTAGCTCATCTAGCATCCCTTTGCTCATGGCGTTTACTGTATCGGTATTTAGCGGCAGCTGGGGGGCATCTTTCGCTGTTACCGTCTCGATCCGAAGAAAAAACTTCAGCTTCGCCTCGACAGACTTGACGTAATCATCAGCCACTGGGGATGGCCGACACGACACAATTTCTATCGCGGGAACAGGAACAGACGCGTGCTGCACGTATCCAAGCACGAATTCCTCTTCGTTACTTCGAAACTGAGAACGTAACGGGTTACGCTGGACTCGCTGCATACACATAACATCGTACTCTGTTTCTTCGTCAATGCAAGCCATCGCAGTATTCATCACCTGTGTGTGACCAAAGAGGAATCCAAGACGGTTCGCCTCTCGAAGCAGCGCCACAGCCAAAATCTTCACTGCTGGTTCGCGATAACTCAACTTATAGATCGTGAACAAAGTATCCCTCTCAAAAGATGAATATGGTCGACTCGATCGACACGCTCGTAGCATTTGTACAGCTGCCTCCGCTCCTGTCATCTGCAGGCGTTTGCTTGGAGCGTTTGTCCCTGCTCGAGTACATACAGCACCTAGCTGCAGTCTCGCAGCGATCGTCTCCGTTTCAAAAGTCTTCAAGCGCCGATGGACGTCATAGCAATGTACATCCACGCGACTATCCGCCGTCTTGGAGATTGTGATTTCAACCGTCCCGTCAGATTCACCCACACCGCCAACGGGAAGGAGCATCCGGAGTTCGGACTGAGCTGTATGGGACTTGTCCTGAAGTTCCAGCAGTAGATACCGACTGAATCTTGGAAGAAAATCATCGAACTGCTGGCTTGTCGCCAAGATGTAGCCTTTGTGCTCCACGGATTCGAGTTCCATGTTGCTGTTCAAGGCAAACGTAAGTTTGAACCGAGGTAACTCGATCTTCAGAATACCTTCAGGAGATCTCAGCGGATGAAGGAATTTCACTGCTTCGAACTTTGTCAGAATCTTGAAAATGCTCAACAGCGGGCCATCTCTCTGAACAAACTGGTCATAGTCGTCAAGATGGCTCAAGAGTTGATCGCATGGACGCTTGGTGTCGCTGAATGGCACTTTGTAGCATCGGAGAGAGCCACCTTCGCCAAATGTAGCCATAAAAAACACTTCGTGACATTTCGCCTCCTTTGGTCGGAAGAGTACACAGTTCTCTTCCACCCAGTACCAGTGTGAATACAATTTCCGTAGCTGAGCTGGGAGCAGATACCTCAATGCGTTTACCCAACTGGTAGTGCATAGCTGAAGTGTACTGGTGATCTCTCCACAAGAGTCTACGCTTAGTTCTTGGACAAAAAGCTCTTGATCCAATGCGAAATCATACAACCGACCACAATACGTTCGTTCCGTTCGGAGCACGCCGTTCGTAGAGAATACTTCAAAGTTGCTGGGCCCAAACAAACTCTGAAATCTTTCATGCCGACGAATGTCGACTGGGAGGCCTCCAGGTGCGTAGCCATCTGTCAGAACGACGCCCGTGAACAAGTTAATCGCGTAATGAGTATCCATCCGTGTGTCGATCGCTTCGAAGCAGCATCCGAACTGCTCACCATTTGTCGACAATTCGCTAAACTGCTTCCACTCCAGTCTCTCTGGTGACGTTGCACTCACCAAACGCATTAAACCAGTAAGCACTGTATCAATGCCACTATTCTTCACGTAAGCAACCAGCTCTGCAATCCGACGAGACATCATCTCAACGATCTTGCTCTCCGTGCGAAGCATCTGATCGTTGGACCTCAGATTAATACTCGCACACAGGAAAGAAGTACGAAATAGCACAATCAGCTCACAAACTTCTTGAGCTGCTTCGTCGTCCCATGGTCCCAGACTGTAAGCCAGCACAGCGAAGCCATAAAGTACGCACTCCTTTCGGCGGATTCTAGCGATTCGATCAGGCGACGATTCCTCCTTGTACTCCGAGCGCGTTTCTTCCGCCCAACGCCGCGTCATTCCACCAAACATCTTCACAATTTGCCGTGCATTGTTCGAATACTGCAACGCAAAGCCTGCAAGCTCGCTGAGAAGCGGCACATTCTCAAAATTGCGCCGAGTCTGTTCAAGTTTGTCCGTAATACTCGCAAGCGTAGCACAGAACGTGTCTAGACCCTCGTTACCACTAAGCATGTCGGTTTTCCACAGCAGTTGAGGGTTCACTTCGTCAGTGAGAGATCCAACTTGGTACAGTGACTGCCGCACAATGGTTGCCACGCAAGCGTTCGACCACGGAAGGTTGTCTTCAAGAAGAGCCCACTGCAACTTTCGATATTGCTGGTTCGGGAATGCACGCAATGACCCCAGAGCAATGAAAGCGCTCTTCTCAAAATCGTCCGGCTGCTGGTGTAAGTTTGCGTAGCTTAAATTTCCTCGTGTATCGCTCTGACCAGGCCAATTATTCATCCACTGAAAGTCGCGGAATCCTCCAGGCATCGGCTCAACGAAGCTATTAATCACACTGGCCTCTGTGGCTGCAAACGGGTCAATCTTGATGCCACTTGAGTCCATCCACGTAAGAGCTGTACCGTACAAGGTAGGATTCCAGACACATTCAACGCTGTACTGCTGAAGATTGTGTAAGTCATCCACCGACTGGGGTCCCAAAGAATGTGGGTTGGAGTACGGAGCAAGGGTGGGCGTGAACACGTTGCTGGTTGCGTTAAGAGCTTGAGATGGCGCGAAGTGGGAGTGAAACTGCTGCCATGTCGTAGGACTCAGCGCTGGTAATCTTGTCATTTCAGACGTTGCCTCAGCTGGGGCGAGAGCTCGCTGCGCTGTTAAACACAGGCTACCCAATATTTCGAGATTGCGCGGCATGGTCAGCATGAAAATCACTTGAATCGCATCGTTCGTTGCTGGAGGAAGCGGCCGTACCAAAAATCGGGGAGCAGCGAGTACTCTACTAAGCGCTGCTTCCTTGTTTCTGATGTCAGATTTAATCCGCTGAATATCTCTTTCCAGTTGGTTTTTAACAGCGCTCTGCGGGTACCCCCCGTAGTAGTAGCTATTATTGCGACAAATGCGAGCATATTCCTGGCTTAGCCGCTCCTCCTCACTTGCAAGCTGCTGCCGCTTCGTCACTAAATCCTGTTTCTGCAAATTAATATGTGCCCGTAATTGAGCGGCTTCTGTTTTCTTTAACTCGATCAGACCCCACTGCCCCCTCACGTGCGAGTCCCAAATTTCAACCTCACGATTGTAAACTTCCACCACGCTGGAGCTACTCAGTCCAAATCGCAGTCCAAAATCAAACGTCGGTGTCTGGTTGGTCGAGTGAAATAGTGGGGCTCCTCTGGTTGCCTCATTCCAGCGACGAATGTACGTGGCGACACGCTGGAGTGCAGAAATAGCAGCCTGATCACGAAGAACTGCCACCTTTAGGTCTCTCCAATCTAACGCGATGTTGTACTCCGCACACAGCGGCACTTCATGAACACAAATCTGGTGAACGAGACAAAACGCAATCCACACGACCAGCATCTCTCGACTACGCTGCTCCACACCCAAGACAGAAGTCAACCGCGGAAGTTGACGCCACTGCCTCACACGCTGTTGGTACTGGGTCACAAGTATTTGAATACTTTCCAAGCTGACACTAGCTCCTTGGCCACAGGTACTGCCATTCAACAGCTGAGCCTTTTCAACCATAAACGCTTCAAACGTCCGAAGCGTCAGAATACACTTGTAGGCAGCTGGACACTCATTCGAATTCTCCCACTGAAGCAGCTCAGCAAAAGTGCTCGATACTCCATCTAAGATAAAGCATCCCTCCAAATTGCTCCACGCTCGTTGGTGCCGCTCCTCGGTGCTTTCACTATTGTCTGAATCCTCGAGTCGCTTTGGTGATTCGATCTTCATTTCGCAACTTAGCGTGTTAAGTAGCCCCAACATCGCGGCATCGGGCAAAACAAATCGTGCTGCAGTCTGGCGATTCAAAGCGTCAACAAACTCTTCAATTCTGGAGCGCAGTGCAGCACACTGGTCCTTAATCGGCGACACTTGATACTTGCATTCCAAAAGTTCAACCGTATTCTGAACAACAACCTGGAGCATGTAGAACAAGTCATCCACACGGGCACATCCTTCCTCCAGGTTAATGTTGTCACGGCAGAAGACACTCCCAGTTTTGTCCACTGCTTCTTGAAGCAACTTAAGCTTCATCGCGACCATCGTCTTTCGAAACAAACCTCGTTCACAGCTGAGACTGCGAGCAACGACTTCTTGGACAAGAGCCCAGCAGGTATCTCGTGCTCGTCCTCCCGTGTGTTGCCCCACATCAGTTGTGCCTCCTTGCGCAGCGAAGCTGACGTCGCCAATACCTTGAGTGTTCCCCATTAGCGAATCCACAGTACGCTTCACGACAGCAGAGATGAACTGCGGCGTCTTTTGATGTCCCAACTCGTTTGTTGCTGCACTTCTCTCTGATCCTCTATTGCTCTGGGCTTTTCGTAGCTCTGTAGCAAATACAGTCGAGAACTTTATCTCCAATTCTGTATCCAGAACTGCGCAGCACTGGGGAGTATGCGGACTGTACGTCGAAGGAACTGCGCTGTGCACACATTGTCCAGTCGGCAAGAAATGAAGAGAGCGCTCCCAGCCGTCAATAGAAACTACTTGAAGTGCGACGTCCACCGCATTTTTCTGGCTTCGCTGCAATACGCAGCCATACTTGGGCAGCCACGGGTCATACCACACGTCACCTCTCTTGTGTCTGCCACCCGAAGCTGTAAGACGTCGAGACGCCTGCCGCAATACTTCCACTTCGTGCACAGTAAACGCAGAGGCCGGAAAAGATCGATCGTCCGTAAGAGGCTTCACACGACCACACTTTAGGCCTGGTGCATCAACTGCCTCCACGCTCGCTACGAATCCAGTAAACAACTTCACGAGCTCGTTGCACACTGTCGCTTCCTGGCGGTCGCTTGGGGTCTTGTGTTTGAAGCGGAAAACTGCGTTGAGTACTTCGATATCGTCCATCCCCTTCCGTATTGACACAGCTATTGGTACTCACGTTTCTCTTCTTCCTTGCTTTGAGGTAAATTGAAAACTGAGCTACATGCTTCTCGTTCGGATATCCTGCCGTCCTGTTTTATGAATTCGTCCACCGTTAGCATGCAAACTTCCCTTTGTCTATAGACAGCGGACTCATGTCGACAATCCCGTTAGCTCTATTGGGTATTGGATGAAGTCCTGGCATGTTTTCGCCCGTTAGATCCGCGAAGGTTTCTCCACGCCATGGGTTTCTTCGGTTAGCTGGCTGTTAGGTGGACCAGGGGTCCCCTTCGCCTGTCGTTGTCCCACGTCAGACGCCCCCAAGGGCTCGTCAGTGAGTTGATTGAGCAGCGAGTGACTAGCTCGAGAGAACGTGACCTTCTGGCGTGCGCCGCTAGCGACCTGGTGACCGCATTCAAACTGTCACCGATTGGGTGAATCAAGTTGAAGTAAATAGCCAATCAAAGCACTAATATTCAATCCAAACTGCTCTTAACTGCTTTTGCAGCACAGGGACCTATTTGAAATTTGCCAAGATGCTAGCCAGGTGCCGCGCAGCTTTCAAGGCCTCCCCCGCTTCTGGCGTCTCTCATTCTGCTGCTGCGGGTGTCTACTACCGAAATGTGCGCTGGATGGGTCGTGGTCCCACAATCCAAGGCAAGAAGAACGCCACCGATGCGGTACGACAGTCCCAAACTCTGCAGCAATTGACAGTCGTGAGCATCTGACGGACGTTGTGTTCCACTGCAGAAGCGCACAGCCACTAACGCCAAATTAGCGCGGGAGATTATGGTCATTTCCAACTGTAAGACTCGACGGCAATAGACTGGGTGTGCTCTACATGTGGATGATAAATACTGACGGCGCCGGCTGATGAATCATGTCTGCAGTGGTGGGAGGCGATGCGAACAACGTGGTACGTTAATGGAATAGGACGCTACTGTGCAAATTGAATGTTTATCATTTATTGTGTATTGGCTGTTGATGGCAGCGTCTTGTGGCAGCAGTGAACAAGGCCAAGGCGGCGAATATGCCCAAGGACAAGATCGAGGCGGCGATCAAGCGTGGCGTCGAAGGCAAAGACGGTATTGTCATAACTATTGGGTGGTGGTTATGGGGCCAAGCTTACTGAAAAAGTATGTGTGATTTACGCTGATTTTTCAGGAAGCAATGCGGAGACTGTACTGTACGAAGCCACGGGTCCAGCTGGAAGCGCACTGATGGTGAGGGGGGGCGGTGCGAGCTCGTTGACAGCAAAGATGCTCACCGTTTTGCTTTTATTCTTGTCTGTAGATTGAGACGCTAACGGACAACAAGCGCCGAACAGCTCCCGCGCTGCGTCACATTCTGGGCAAAAACAGCGGCGCTCTGGGCACAAACGGTTCAGTCGCCTGGATGTTCGAACGCAAGGGCTACCTCGAGGTACTGTGCGATCCTGATAGCTGTCATCTGTAATGTAAGCTCATCAGTGTGTTGTCTACAGATCGAACTCCCATCGGGCGATGGAGACAAGCCCGAGATGGACGAAGACACGCTCATGGAGATCGCGGTATGTGACTCAAGAATTGCTGTCTCCTTGCCGGGTTGGCTTCTGACCTCAGCTGTTGTATGTCTAGCTCGAGGCTGGTGCTGACGATGTGGAGATGCGTGAGGGTCTGGCACAAGTTACGTGTGATCCCAGTGAGCTGGCTGCCGTACGCAAAGGCTTTACTGAGGCTGGACTGGAGCCAGCGATCTCCGAGCTTATCTACAACCCGAAGGAGTTCCTAGATTTAGAGGGAGAGCAGCGTGATACCTTCGACAAACTCATTGACGCTCTCAACGAAGACGAAGACGTCAACCAGATCCACCACAACGTCAACGAGTAAGACCCAGCTACTCGTTTACCAGCAGCACCGCGAAAAGAGAACGGAAGACCAAAGAAAAAAATTCAATTAATGTGCGGCCAAGCAAGCAGACGTCCAGCTCTCGTCTTTCCGCTCTGCTTTACTCCAAATAGATACGCTACTTGCTACCCGCTCAACACGGCGGGTATCTCTGTGCCCCTAGAGATCCGAGAATGACATACGCTTGTCGTTGTTGAGCTGCGAGAACGTCAGTGGGTCATCCTGTGCGTTTTCGTTCGCCGCTCCAGCGTCGTCTATTGATGGTGGTGACGGGAAACCGTGTGCAATGGTCTGAAGCTCCTCTGCTGGGAGCTCCAACGGCTCCATCGGGAATGCAGCAACAACATCTTCAGCGTGCACAACATCGCGCTTACTCACTAACTGCACAGCATCCACGATCTCATCTGGGCTGTTGTAGCCGTCGTCTTCATCCTCCGACTCGACCTCAAACTCCCGGACGAGCACGTCTGTGTTAAAGCGAATGTGTCGACCGAGAGCTCGCCATTTCTTCTTTTTCTGAAGCTCATTTTGGGCTGCCAGTGACATGTACTCGTCCCTGAACTCGAGCGGAATTCGGTTGCGAGCCTCGCGGATTTTCTGTGCAAGGTCTGCCGCCTTCTGCTCCTCTACCGTCAGACGAGCATGTCTTGCAGCACGCTTACGATTTACCAATCCACTGGCCCCTGAGCGCCTTGAAAGCTGGCCCTTGAACCCTCCCACAAACTCTGCCACGCTCGCTGCACCTGAAGACACTCGAACACGTCCAGCGAAGTCGGGAGCATTCACGTCCGGGAAGTCTTCATCAGCTGCAGCAGCGTCACCATGCGCCTCGTCGTGTTCGTGTTCATAGTCCTCGTCGCTTTCTCCTTCATCGTCCGATTTCGAGTGAACTTTATCCACATCGCGCACGTTCTGGAATGAGCGACACAGCGGGTTGTCGTCCTCGTCATACTCATCAAACGCCAGCGGTGGGGCCTGTAAGTCCTTCTTGGGTTGAAGTCGGGGAAGCGTCTTAATCGGAGCACTCGCAGCACCACTGGAACTGGCCGAACTAGCGCCACTCACCAAGCTGCTGCCACTCGAGACGCTGTCACTGGTCGTTTCCGTCGCCAGCAAGTCTGTTCTCGCCTGTTGAGCGCATTGCATCCCATTCGAGTCGAGTAGTCGGACAGCTGTGGGCTGCTGGGCTTCCTGCACTTGCAGCATGTTGTTCTTGGGTGCGGGCACTTCCCAACTCGAGTCGGCGCGGTTCCTGTCCACTGTGTCCGGGTCCAACATGGGAAATTCATTGTCGATATTCTGGTGAACCGTTGAGTCGTGTGTGGCTAGCACAGTTGTATCCTGTTCCTGCACGGCCTTCAAGTCGCTGGCTGATCCTTTTTTCTTCTTGCCCATGTGGAAACCCTTAAACTCCAGCAGCGATATCGAGCCTTTCTTAGCGTCAACTTCAGCAGCCTGTTCACACGCTGCTGCTCGTGCCGATGTGGCTGCATCTGCCCCCACGAAGTCCGATCTCCTCGACTGTTGCTGATGGTTCCATCCCCCAGACTGTAAAAAGTCCAAATCTGATCGTCGTCCTTTCGGTCCGACGTTTTTAGGCGTTTGTTTGAGGAAGATCTGGCCAATTGTCGAGTTCTCGAAGTATTTGTTACCGTCCGAGGCAGCCACGTACGGTGTTCCATCCGCTGCGTGTTCCACCACATAAGTTACATTAGGCTGAGGTGGGGTCGTGTCCACGATGTTGTTCAGCGCCTGCGTCTTGCCAGTCATTACCTCAGTTATCACACTGGAGAGGGACGAAACGGCAGGCGCGGGGCGGGAGGCGCCGGGTAGTGCCGGTCGGTACTCGTCTCGGTCTTGGGCCTCGTTCTCCTCGTCCTTGGGGGCTGCAGCTCTACGCGCGCGACGACGGGAGAACGACAGCTCGTACGTGGTCTGACCAGGCTTAACGAAACGCCGACGGGGCCGCACACGCGCAGGTGGGCTGGGAAATCCGTCCACGGGGTCCAGTTCGTCTACGTCTTCGTCCACGTCGTCGTCCTCCTTGTCTGTGTCGCTGCTGGCCATGGGACTGCGTACTACACGAGTCGTACGGTCCGCTCGGCGGCGGTCGGCGTCGTGCATCAGCGAGTTCATCGCCAGCATGCGCATGGCCACCGTCGACGGCTATTGACCCCCGCGGAGGAATAAATAGCGAAAAGTCTACTGTACTTCCGCGTCGGGCTTCTCGCTGTTTGGCGTTTTGTTGCAGTGTGTGGTGGCAGGCAAGTTTTAGCCCAAGATTTGAGGAGTCGCTTACGCAACCGACTGTGGAACTGGTTTTTTGAAGAGAGGGAGTGCTGGTGATTGATGAAACTGGAGTTTTATAAGAGCATGACGGGCACACGAGCTGGATGCTGAACGACAGTCTACAGCGGCCGCAAAGGACCGATGTGTCTGAAGCGATGCACGCTTGTAGAAATCGTTGCAACAGGCTGTGGAGGAGGCGAAGGCAGCGATCGGCCACTGGAGTTTGCCTGCTTCCTGCGTGCTATTAACATGGCAAAAGACCAAACTCGCATTCGTCAGCAAACTAAGCGTTACTGTATTGTACTGTGGCCCGAACAACTTCAAAAAAAGGGCGTCGTCATGGCATCGTACAGGCAGTACATGTACGACGATCGATCGGAATAACATGACCCCCACGCTCAACGCTGTGCGCTTTGAAAGGCCGCTCAAGCCTTTGGCCAAGGACCATTGTAAAGGTGGTTCCGGTACAAGTACATGTAAAGCTAGACGCTTTGCACTGCACTTGTAAGCTGCACCGACGCAAATTTCAGTCAGACATTTGCCGGGAAAGCCCTGGCCCAGGACGTTTTATGAATCGAGTGCCACTGAATTCCATTTGACGTGAGGTTGGACTCGAAAGTCATCAGCATTACTAAATCAGCCATTGTATTACTAAGTATTTGATCTCCATGTACATGTACTTCGAAATACTTATGTTCCTTTGCGCCAAAGCAAAGCATTGAGCGCATTGGACCGATCCCGCAGCCCTCTACTTCGTCGGCTAAATGACGCCAATTAAGGTCATTCTGGGCACTTGCCCACCGGACAGATTTTGACAGAATTTCACTTCTTTCCACTGGTGCGAAAATCCGAGAAGTGCTACTTCTGTCGGGGCCTCCGACAAATTTCTAGGCTGGCTATTCACTAAGGTTGTTTCAGAACATGTCATCTAGCCGCGCTCTGGACGAAACGGCAGGCTACAGCAGATGAAGTCTGTCCTGGACGGTTAAGCCGATATCTGTACGCGTTCGCAGATTTTACGCCAGTGAACGCAGTAATTTTTAAAATATTTGAAAAATAAAGCTCGCTTCTTACACTATTTTAGTCTTATTGAAACCACATGTTCGCAAGTTGCGGACATGCGAATCGCAACTGTACATTTACTTGATTTTTGTAACATTGGTACTGCTCCCCCTCTGTTATCATACAACAGTACTTCAAAGAACTTTTCTAGTATAATATTTCACAATTCCTTCACTGGTGCAACCTCTCTCTCAGTCAACCTTCGCGTCACCTGATGGCTTCTCGCCACAACTCGCTTGCTTGGCCATGAGCGCTCCTCCGCCGCCTCCGTCCGCTGCCGGTGCCTCAACACAGACGACGCCCGTATCCCCACCGCGCAACGGAATGAGCAAGGAGGACGTGGTGGGCCAGGAGCTGATTCAGTGGCTCGAGACCAACGGCGCCGACTCGAAGAAGCTGACGCTGCAGGAATATGCGCCCGAAGTACGCGGCGTGCACAGTCGTAAAGTATTGGTTCCTGGCGAGCGCATCCTCGTGATACCCAAGAAATGCCTCATCACGGTGGAAATGGGCAAGCAGACGGACATCGGGCGCAAGCTTCTGGCCCGTAACGTGGACTTTGTGGCGCCCAAGCACATTTTCCTCATGATGTTCCTGCTCACGGACATGGAGCACGTGGAAACGTCTTTCTTCCGCAATTATTACAGCACACTGCCCTCCACACTCAGTAATATGCCCATCTTCTGGTCCGAGGAGGAACTAAGCTGGCTCAAGGGCTCGTACATCATCCAGCAGATCCAGGAGCGCAAGGCTGCTATCCGCAAGGACTACGACGTTATCTGCCGGGTGCGTACGATTGATTGGCTGTCAAATTGATCTTGACTCTTGCTGATTTTTGCATTTTGTTGCTGCAGGTGGACCCATCGTTCGCGCGGTTCTCGCTCGACCGCTTCAGTTGGGCGCGTATGATTGTCTGTAGTCGTAACTTCGGCCTGACAATCGATGGAGTGAAGACGGCGGCACTCGTGCCGTTTGCAGACATGCTGAACCACTACCGTCCACGTGAGACGAGCTGGACCTTCGACCAGAGCATCGATGCGTTCACCATTACGTCGCTAGGAACGATCGGCACAGGCGCTCAAGTTTACGACTCGTATGGCAAGAAGTGCAACCACCGTTTCCTACTCAACTATGGCTTTGCCGTCGAGGACAACACGGAGGAGGACGGTCGCAACCCGAACGAGGTGCTCATCGATTTTCAGTTGTCGCCTGCCGACGGTCAGCTGTTCTACGACAAGCGAGCGTACCTGCACGAGAGCGGCATCTACACTATGGACGCTCGACTGAGCTGCTCGCACTCGGATGCCAACACACGCGAGGGATTTAGCTTTGCCCGTCTGATTGTTGCCACTGAAGAGGAATTCTCCACGATGAAGATGAAGAGTCCTGCGCACTCGTCTCCGCCCATTTCGTTCGACAACGAGATCCGTGCACTTGAGTATCTACGCAACCTGATGACCCATCAGCTCAGTCTGTACGACACGACTATCGAAGAGGACAATGAACTTCTGGCCTCAAAGCAGTACCCGCTGTTCTCGAACCGCATCCAGGCTCTGTTCTTCATCCGGGGCGAGAAGCAAGTGTGCCGATACTTCCAGGAGCTAGCAGACAAGGTCATCCCGCTCTTCAGCTTGCCACTGGCGGAGTGCCGTGAGGAACTGCAGCGCAGTTTCGATGGAGATGGCGATATCGACCGCTACGCGCAGGACGTCATCGCCTATTTAGTCACGCAAGTGTACCGCGAGAGCTAGTGCTCGCTCACTCGATGGAAGCTTTGGACGTTGTTCTTTGGCGGGCCAAGCGCGCATTTGTGGTGCGAAATTTCACACTTTTTTTTGGAGCGACAGCATCCGCTCGCTCGCTTGTGACAAAAGAGTAAAAAAGGCGGAAGTAGTGAGTGTCCTGAAGCTATCGAAGCAGTCGGCGATGCACATTAGGGATAAAGTTAGAAGACAGGACCAACACAACGATATGGACTGCTGCTGTGTGTCACTTCTGCTGTCTTGCTTTGTCCCTCTACGCCTCCTCCTCTTCCTCGTCCTCGAATAGGAAGTCGAGATTGACCAGATACCGCAACTTCACTTGTTCCTGGCGGTACACGATAAACTCGTTGTAGAGCAACGAGCCACTGCCGTCCGATGGCATTAACTCACCGATGGGAACAACCACATCGTCCTCCCTGCCACAAGCCCACACGTGTTAAGTTCGTTCTTGCAATGTTACTGAAGCACTCTCAAGAACTCACATGGTCTCGTAGTCTTCTTCGAGGGCAGACATGCGGCCAACTCCGTGTGTACTATCACATCCCTTGGTTTTCTTCAAGGTTGTATACGTCAGATCGTCCGCTTCTTGAGCCTTGTAGGGGGCACCCAAAGCCACCTCAGCTAAAAACAACACACCCTGCAACAAACAATCAAGAAGAACAGAGCGTCAAGTATCAGCAGATACACACGCTAAACAGGCAAAGTGTCACCTTCGGATTCTGCGGCGTTGTCCAGCAGTAATTTGCAGATTTAGATACCGAGTCAGCAAAGTAAATCTGAAGAGCAGTATACGAATCATCAGTATCGCCACCAGTAAGCAATTCAACGTACTGAAGTAATCTCCACGCACTCCTTTGCCGAACATGTATCCGTTGTTTGGTGCCTCGGGTGGGGCTACGCGAAGGCCCTTAGACAAGATACCGATGACGTTCGAGAGGCGAGACCCGTGCCACAACAACTGCAAATTACCGAGCATAAGTCAGTTCACAAAGATAATGGCATTATTATTTGCCATAGGGAAACAAAAGACGAACCTTGTGGTTGTTCACGGACTGAAAAACGTCCTTGAACTTTTCTTCATTCGGACGCGCAATCTTGAGAACAGATTTTATCCGCAGTTTATACTGCACGTGGGTCGGAGCGTGCGTGGTCTCCACGTATCTGTTGCAGCAGAGCACCCATGTCAGTACTTTAAGCCAGCACCACCGACTTCTTCCGCTACGTACTTTTCGATGATCCTGAATTCCTCGGTAGCTTCAGGAAGTGGCTCCATCTTGACGTTAAGCATGTTGTACTGCGCGTCGAGCGAGTTCAGCTTAGCGCCGGCATTCTTCTTTGCATTCTTCTTCTTTTCAGCCTGCAACTTCTGCGAAATCTCGATATTCGCCAGCACCTCGAGCAAGTCACTCTTCAGCTTCACCTCGTCCAGCGAATCGATCGGGGGCGGTAAGTTTCGCCCGAAGTCGTGCGGAATCAGAGTGTAAAATTCGCTTGAAAGGGTCTTCAGACCAGCCTTTAAGCGGCGGATCTGCACGGCATTTGGCTTGGCCGCTCGTTTGACCCGAGTGGATCTTCGTGTTCCGGTCCGCTTTGCAGGAGGTGCCTCATGAGTATTTGCAGCAACCTTGTTGAGATCTTCAATTTCCTTGAGCACTTCAGAGAGCTGCTGGAGCAACGCGTAACCCCGCGAGATCTGTGTTTTTGAAAGTTTGCCTAGTGAGCTATCAAGTATTAGCACAATATCATCGGGAGTAACCAAAGGTCTGCCTGTCACCGACCTAACGGCAGCCTCTTCAAGTCAAGGTTCATATCTGCCACTTCCCGAGCGATGAGGTCAGCATCACAGATGAGCTGCAAGCGCAACAGTAAGCTTGTCGTTCGAGCACCAGTTTTTCGAGTGGAAACAGACCTTCAACACTTCTTGGACAGTCTCGTGTAGAGTCGACGCCACCTCTTCTTCTTCCTTCTCGACGTCGCTCATCTGTTCCTCCTCTTCTGCCACTTCGTCGTCCAGTTCTAACAAATACAAAGCAAAAGGTTTTAGATTCCTATGGAAAAGTCCTGTGCTACAATCACTCACCAACGAGCACGTATTTGCCCTCCACCTTCTCAAACGGCCCTGTCAATGGCCATGCATTACCGCTCTTGTCCAAGAACTTTTTCGTAAAAGACGCCTGCGCTTTCTCCAGCGACGTGTTGTAGCGCTCCAGAGCGCGCTATCATTGCATAATAGTTGTCATTGTATTATTACAACACAAGATATGATGTTCTTGCACGTGTGTCCACCTGCGGGTTTTTGGCTCCGACGCGTCCCCACTTGCGGAAGACCATGAAGTTATTGCCGACCTGGATCAGCTGCACCATGTAGAATTTGTTGTTTCTGCATGACAATGCTCAGTTGCTATGCATACAGTGCACACCCATCACCAGAACTCACCCATACGTCCCGAACGAGATGTTGGTGTAGTTGAGCATGAAGCTCCAGGTGACACCATTCGCGTCCTGATCACCACCGAGATGCACATTTTAAAATAGCAGCATTCAGATCCATGCAAATTGAAGTGTCCACCGAGATAAAGGCACCTGGTAGACCTCAGCTGAGCTGGGGCAGCCACTGAGCTGGTCAACACGTTTCGCAGCACTTTGAGGCATTTCAAAAGGGTTTCTCATGGCGCCAAAAAAATACCGGTATTATAATCGACGGCTTACTCTGTCCAGTTTTCTTAAAACAGTGAGGACAAGCGAAAGTTGTCCTTAGCCGGTTTTTCAATAAAATAAGTTTTTTTGTCGCTCCAAGCGATCGCTGGTGCGTCAGCCTTTGCTCTCATCAAGCCCTCTCCCTCTCTACCAGGCGCACGCGACGTTCTGGAAGTCCAGAGTCACCAGATAGCGCAGCTGGACCTGCTCGCGGCGATAGACGATGAACTCGTTGTACATCAAATACTGGCTACCGTCCACTGCCTTCAGCGTACCGGCGGGCACAACCACGCCGTCGGGCAGCGTCTCGAACTCATTTTCCGCCGGTGCCATGCGTCCAAGTCCGTGTGTGCTGTCGCATCCGCGTTGCTCTTTCACCGTCTTGTAGTCCAGAAACTCGCCGTTTGGAGTCTTGAACGGCGTGCCCAGTGCGACGTCTGCGAGCAGCAGCACTGCCTGTATAAAGGCATCAAGAAACAGGAGCCGATCAGTATCAACAAGACATTGAAATACGCCACCAGAGTACGCCGTCACCGTTGGGTTCCGAGATGTGGTGCAGCAGTAGTTCGCAGACTTCACCAAAGCATCGGCGAAGTATAGCTACAACGAGAAAAGGGTTAGACAAGTCACCGCAAAGAGTGGGCGCTTCAGCCCACGCTGCTTACCCCCTTGCCGAACTGATATCCGTTCTTGGGAGCTTCAGGCGGGGCAATACGCAGCCCCTGCGATAGAATGCCCACGAAATTCGACAGACGGGAGCCGTGCCACAGCAACTGCAATCACCAAAGTATCCATACCAATGAAAATGTCAGTATTTTCAAGAACGGGCGAGTGTGAATCTACCAAGTGAAAGAAGAAAACGCACCATGTGGTTGTCAAGAGATCCTAGCACGTCCTTGTGGGTGTCTTCGTCCGGACGCGCAATCTTGAGAATTGTGTTGATACTGAGCTTGCTACCGCCGTGGGTCTTCTGGATAAATCTACCGGCAGGAAAAAACGCATTGGCAAGCCAACCCCACGGTCATCAGTGGATAACTCACGTACCTCTCGATGATCTTGTACTCCTTGCCGCGCTTTTTCAGCGGCTCCATGTTCGTGTTGAGCATGTTGTAGTGCATGTCCAGAGGATGGATCGCAGGTCCGCTCCGTTTCTCGGCTTCTTGCTTCCGCAGCATCTGCGAGATCTCCAGATTCGACAGCACTTCGAGCAGCTCCAGCTTCAGTTTGAGATCTGCCATCGTATCGATAGCTGGCGGCAAAGAGCGACCGAAATCGTGCGGGATGAGCGAGTAAAACTCGCTGGAGAGCGACTTGATCGCTGCTTGGAGTGCCGACAGACTTTTGGTGGTAGCTGCAGTCGGTCCCTTCGCTTTCGCCTTGGCCTTTCGTCTACTTTTCGCGCCAGCTTTGGCTTTCGTGGCTGGAGCAGAAGCTGTTGCCAGCTGTTCCATCTCCTCCAATGCAGCTGAAAGGCGCTGTAGGATTTCGTAGCCCTGCGATATCTGCGCCTTCGACAGTTTACCGAGCGGAAAGCGCTTCAGGTCCACATTCAGGCTGGCCATTTCTCGCGTCACCACCTCTGGGTCGCAGATGAGCTGCCATCAACATCATTCATTAATGGTTGTCGTCCAGCTGGCACGAAAAGCACCATATCCACAACCTACCTGGACGATGCTTTGCACTTCTCGTGGCAGTTTGGACGCCACTGCGTGCTTTTCCTCCACCTTCGCCTCAACATCTGCAGATGATCCTTCGGGCTCTCCGTCGTCCAGCTCTAGCAAGGTCAAGCAAGCCACATCACCATGAGTGAAAACATGTCTTGGTAGGGCGTCGAAGTACGCACCGACGAGGAAGTATTTGCCTTTCTTGCGGACAAAAGGCTCCGTGAGCGGCCACTTGTTGCCGCTTTTCGACTGGAAGACCTTCTGGAAGGCCCACTCAGCCTCTTCGACGCTGCTGTAGAACTCAGTTTTTGACTGCGGTGTCTTGGCGCCCACGCGGCCCCATTTGCGGAAGACCACGAAGCGCCCGCGGTCTACGATGAGCTGCCCCATGTAGAACTTGTTGTTGCTTGAGAAAGTCACGCAGTGTCAAAACTACGACGGAATGAAGAGCAATGGAAGCCGGTCCCTGTCTCACCCGTAGGTGCCGTAGGAAATGTCCGTTAAGTTCAACATGAAGCTCCAGCGCATGCCATCCCCGTCCTGTCATAACGAAGACGTCAGTAACTAGATAGAAGCACTTGCAGGTGCCGCTGCATACGCGATAGAGCTCGGCATTGGCGCTGCAGCAGCTTTGCGGGTCGACGATCGTGGCAGTTGACGCCATTGGATGCGAATTGAAGAATGACGAGAAAGGTCTTTCTAAAAGACCCAAGACCACGTCAGTTCTCTTGAGCGCGATTAGAGAGAACCAACACTCACTTGATCAAGGGAAATATCGCCTTAGCAGCATTTTATCTTGTCTTTTGTAAGGTAAAAAGTGCTTGAATGCGCTTAAATGTCTGCTTCAAATGTGGACGAATCTTAGTATTGACCAAAAAAAGCCTGCTCTTGGCGTCTTCAGGGTACAGTACCAAGAGTAACAGGTACAGTAGGTGGATTTTAGGGTCTGCTAGCTTCACCGTCCAAGTAGGGGATCTCTTTTTGCGTAGTCACTCGAACCGCGTGTCGGTTGCCTGGTAAGTAGTCGAACGTCGCGAAGTGAGTCGTGATGTGATTATCCCAGACCGCAGCAGCATTTTTGGTCCAGCGGAATCGAACTTGGAACTCGTGGCCCTCCGTGATGTGCTTGTACAAAACTTTGAGCACCGCATCTGGAGTTGAACATGATACATGCAATCGTTAGTACGCAGGCGTAGCACCTTATGCGATCAACAAGCTTGTCGTACCTGACTCGCGAGAAGAGAGCTGCGGGATGCGTCTGGTGAACGCGGGGTTGACAAATAGAGCCTTACGACCAGTTACCGGGTGGGTGCGTACAACCGGGTGCTCGAACTCCACCGGAGCTCGACGAATCGTGTGTCCACGTCTCCCTGCTCGCTCGGCTTGGGCCTTGCTGCTGTGAATCGCCGTCAATCCCTCGATGAATGTCTTAAACGGCGGTGTGAGGCGCTCGTAAGCCTCGTATGCGGACGCCCACAACGTGCCACCTCCAAGTGGAGGGTTCGTTAGCACTTTGAAGCTTGTGTACGAAGGAGGTTGGCGCTCGTTGGAAACGTCGCTGTGCCACACGTTGTCTGGGTCGTACTGCTGGCGTTGAATGATCCGGTCACTGTCCCCCACCGAGTCCTCGACCACCAGCACTACAGGGTGCCCTTCCGGGTGACCGAGATTCTGGTGCACGTGCAGTGGGCCGTAGTACCGACCAAGATCGAGCTGCTGCTCAATATTAATCTCCTGGTCACGGAAAAAGATCACGCCGCGGTGTGACACCAGTAGAGCAAGCTCGTCGCGCTGCGCGTTCGTCAACTGATGCAGTTGAATGCCCGACAGTTCCGTGCCGATCCTCGGCGACAACTGCGTCACCGAGGCATCCTTGAGCAAATTCTTGAACGTCGGGTCGGCCATCAGTCCTCGGTCCTCGTACTGCAGCACTGGAATTGGGTCGTGCTTGGTGGTGGGGAAAACGCTGCGAAGTTCAGGGTGGTCGAACTCGAAATGCTCGACCTCATCATTGAGCGCGTTCTTGATGGGCTTATGCTTAGTAACAGACTCCGACTTCTCCGCGATGGAAGACGCAGTGGTGCTCGTACCCGCGCTTTGGGTGTCTTGTTGTTGAGGAGCCATTTTGCTGTTGCTACGGGGTGAATTGGAAAGTGAGCAAACCCATGCAGCACCAACATGGAGATTTCGTCAAGCTCCTAGGGCGATCGCGGACAAAGGTGCGCCATGTAGGGTTGCTGAAGTGGTGGTGGTGACATTGGCACTCATGGCGCTTTTCATTGGTTTTGCGTTGACACGTTTACGAAGAATCGCTGCAGCGTAGAGTGCCGATTCCATCTGGAGGAAACACGCCAAAACCTACATTGCAAAGCAGCAAATCACCGCTCGCAATAGATACACGTGCCACCTCAGCACGTGTTAAACTCTCGTACAGAACTGCCTCAGGCGCTTGACGTCGTATTCGGATATGCGGGAAACTTTCATCAGGAAAAGCATTGTCGCTGTCTAATTCTAACATGAACACCTCCGTCACTGACCAGGGTCAGTCTGGTTATTTATACATGTAACGCAAAAACAGATTAAGGAATCACCGTAGCTGCGGCAGAAGCTAAAGCTGTTGCATCATGGCGTGGGTGCACCGCACGACCCGTGACGATTGTCCCGGTGGTTTGCAATCGAAGGCTGGCACGTCGGCGAGTCTTGGTCCTGGTTACTACGAAACTTCGAAATCTCGTCACGTGCGACCGAATGCTGCAGGTTTTGGCTGCGGCGACAAGCTCGAGCGCGGTGCCAACTCTGGCTCCACTCAAGGCTTGAAGATGATAACTCCGGGACCTGGAGCTTATACCAGTAGCAACCAGACAAGTTGGGAATCGCCTACAAAGAGCAAGGCATCCGCCACGTCAATTTTTCAGTCCAAGTCTGAACGACTTGGTGATGTAAGACAGCGTCGAGGATTCTCCACGCCAGGACCAGGAGCATACACGAAGCAAGACCCGTTTGCACAGAAATCCAAAACGTAAGCCATGAACTGAAGTTTTTTTTCCCGCATTGCTCTTATCTTTCATGTTTTAGACACACAAGCCTCGGCAATCCTTTGGTGAGGACACCACCGTCCAACAACAAGATCCGGTGGACTCGACTTCCAACTGCTCCGTCCATTCCCACAGTTTCGCAGAGTTTTGGCTACGAGCAAGGTGCGCATGGCAAACTTGTTCGCCACGAGCCAGTCAAAGTTGGTCATTCTGGGTGTGGAAATGATACGCTGGGTCCTGGAGAGTACGAGCCTATGAGAGGATTGAAAAGTATTAACAAGACGCGGACAACCGACTTCTCGAAGGGTAAAGTGACGCGATTCATTGAGCACGAAGTTCGAGCAAAGGCTGAGATACCAGGTCCTGGAGAGTACAAGAACACCGGAGACGGCGCTGCACTCAAAGACCCCGCACGAATCAATGCTGTTTTCAAGTCCTCCCTTACTCGAGAGCAAGCAGCACCCAGCTCGACGACGAAAACTGTACCAGGACCTGGGGCGTACAACTCAGCTCAAATTCACGGATTCGCGAAAGAAACGAAGCCCGAGCATCTTCAATTCTTTGGAAGTACATCGACTCGGTTCGAGACTTCGCAACGGTAAGATTTTTGCTTTTTTTCCAGAAGCTCTATGAAGCTGCTGACTGTTTGTATGAAGCGATGGACTTGCTCCAGGCCCCGGAGCTTACTATAACCCCCCTTCAGGAACCACACAACAGCCACGGTCAATATCTGGCAGGAAAAAGGCACCGTTTAGCTCGAAGAAAGAGCGCTTCGAAGTCCCAAAAGAGAGGGACCAGAGTTTGGCTGCACCAGGATCTTATGAAATTCAGTCAGCTGTGTCGGAAGTATTGAGCAAAGTGGTGAGATCGTCGTGCTTTGATAATAATTTTTTTGACGGTACTGAGACTTGCGTCCCTTCCAGACAAGCCGCGTGACAAACTTCGGCAGCACTACAAAGCGTTTCGACACCATTTCCTCTGGGACCAATCGTGAGACGCTCGAGTCTCAGCTAGAGCGTGATATGAAGGAGCAAAAATTAGAGCGGCAAATGCAAGGACAAAATAACAAGAAGCAACAACAACCCAAGGCTTCATCCATGTTTGCTTCATCTACAAGTCGCCCACATCAAAGCCAAAAAGCCACTGGCCCATCGCCAGGCGACTATGAGGTTTGCACTTACGAGGAGCTGGCATTTCGCAGCTGTGCTAAGGCCGTTTGACTTGTTTGGCTCTTGTAGACTCTACGATCTTGGAATGCCGCAGGAGCGCAGGGTGCTTTCAAATCGGGCATCGACCGAATGAAGGACAAACCCAACCCGAACTCGTTTGTCCCTGTACGTGTTAGAATCAAGAATTTTTACTGTAGCATTGAGCTCACTTTGAAACCTGCAACCGAAACAGGGGCCTGGATCGTACTCCATGGAGCGTTTAGTGCAGAAACCGCAGCACAAGGCTCGACCGAACGTGTTTTACGCAGCGGTGCGCTATCATTTATTTATCATGTCTGAATGTCGTCTCACTCGTGAATGTGCTTCCCCCCATTCAGGAACCTCGTTTCAAGGAGAAGCGTCCAAAGGTGCCAGTATTGGTATGTCCTCATCACATGGACCACTGTCACTCCAAATGAACTAACAATTGCCTTCAACGTTAGGGCCCTGGTCAGTACAATACAGACACAGTCGAATCGGACTGGAATCGCCCCACCCACAACATCTCGATCGCGACTGAGATGGAGTTGGCGATGATGCAATAAATGTACCCATATCTTCGTAAAATATTTTTTATTTTTCGAAACGGATTTAGCATCTCATTTAAGTTCGATTTTCTATCCAGCTCAGACGCCGAAGAACTCATGGGGGACACTGGACGCGGGCAATCGGCCACTTCAGGGAGCGAGGAGCGACCTGTCGCCGTCCCCACGCCGTCAAAACGCACACCAGTCGATTCAGTAATATCTGGTGCTTCTAACACGCCGTCCATCGCCTCCAACAGCGCTGCACAAGTCTCAGAATCGGCCTCTAGCCTCGAGGATGCCCTCGCCGCCGATTCTTCGGCTTCTCAGCGGCCCCCGCGGCCAGAAAAACCACGCCAACCGTTATATACGCCGCCAAGCAGCTCATCCGACCGCAAGCGCCGCAAAAACGGCGCGTATCGAAGCTCTAGCGGCGGTGACACACCAGTCCAGACGCCGCCCGATGTCCCAGCGATACCCTCGGCGCCACTGGAGCCTGAGCGACCGTTGCTGTCGGACTCGCAGTGGGAGAAAGATATTGCAGGCTTTGGCACGGTGCTTAACGACGTGCTGCATTGCGTGACGAACCGCCAACTGGTGACCAAGACGGCCGAATACATGGCCACGTTCCCGCAACACGCGCTGCGCTTCCAGATCAAGATGAAGCAGGTACCGATAGCCTCTAAAACCACGCCATATTATCTTAAAAAGCCGCTGCCGCCACTAAACCACACACAAAAGCCACACTGGAACGAAGCCTGGCACTCATTGTATGTTAGTTATTGTATACTTGTTCTGCTATTTCTTGCTGATGGCTGGCTGGTGTCTGACTATGCTGTGTGTACTGGTGGCGGCGTGCCTAATAGAATAGACCTCTATAGCTTTGCACTTGGTCTTGTTGGTTCACAAAACACAAACTAACGTCATTTGTCTTGCTTGTGCCTGTCTGTAGCGAGCTTATGCTGAAGGCGCGAGAGGATTCCAGGCCAAACTCATGCTGTTCTACGTTTTGCACGAGTTCCTGAAGACCTTTGAAGGCGAGCGACTGCAGCAGATACAACGAGAATGGTTCCAGACCATCGACGAGGTGCTCAACGCCTGTGCAAGGGAGATCCGCTACGGCGACAAGCGCAACGCCGAGGAGAACCGTAAAAGGGTGTTCAAGGTGAAGTGACTGTTTTGTATTGATTGCCCTGTGGATTATGAAGGACTGATGCCTGTGCTCTTCTTGTGGTTACTGAACAGACTCTGGCCCGGTGGGAAGAACTGAAGCTTTATCCAAGGAAGATCAAGGCCTGGAAGGGTCTCGTGATGGGAGAGTGCAAGCCTCGAAGGGCTCCCGTGCCGCTGCCTCGCAGCGAATCGGAACGACAGGCCGAGGCTCCTGACCAGCTTCAGTCGTTCGAACTGCCGCCTCCAAGTACTCCACAGCTGCAACTCGATCGGTCCAACTGCCCGCTGGTCTTCGAGCGCCACAACTTCGACAGCAAACCGGAGGAGAAGCAGCACTGGCGCTACACCGCGATTGCCTTTATCGACATCCTGTCGCAGTGTCTTGGACTGAGCAGCGACATTGCGCTCACTGCCTGCATCTTCTTCCATCGCGTCTTCGATCGCGGCATCTACGCTCGAGAGCGCTACAAATTCGCCGCAGCTTGTCTTTTCCTCTCGGCCAAGGCGTCCAGCAAGCGGATGAAGTTGCTGCGTATGGTGCGAGTCATGTACGACATCTTGGAGACGCCGCTGTTTGCTGGCGACGAGGAGCTGCTGGAGATCGAGCGGGTGCAGCTGCTCTACTACGAGATGGAAGTGCTCCAGGGAATTAACTTTGAGCTGACAACGGAGATGCCCTTCTACTATCTCCGTCGAGTGCTCGAGAAGATGCCGGAGAAATGTACGTGTCTGCTGCATCTCGTCTTGCTAGCAACACGACTAACGGTATTCAACTGCCATCGGTGTGTCTCTGCAGTCCGAGACTCCATTAAAGAAGATGCGCAGACAGCTCTCGAGGAATTGTACGTGAGATTAAGAGAAGAAGCGAGTCTGACGATGACTAACGGTGTTGCGCTTGAGTGTCTGTAGATTTTTCCTGCCAGTTTGTGTGGATATTTCTCCGCAGCTGCTTGGTGAGGCAGCGGCGTACATCGCGACGTGGAACAAAGGCAAAGACTTCAAGTTTAAGTGGTGCAGTCCGAGCGTAGAAGGACGCACTTTCAACGAGCGGACAGCAAGTACGTTCCCTCGTGTTGCACCCACGGCACCTTCTCGGTTCTTATTGCGTTTTTTTTTCTTCTTTCTGCTAGGGGATGCACTGCGAAGCTACCGAGTACTTCTGAGATGGAAAAAGAGTCAACAGGCAGAATTTGATGCGCTGGTCAAGTCAGCAAGTGACTTAGAAGGCGACGAGGCTGCGAAATTGAAGCTGGCATTCAACCCCCAACTGGGAGGTCTACGACTGGATCCCTCGAGTATCCTGAACGAGGCGGAATTTACCAAAAAGACGGAGGAGGACTCGAAAGAATGGGCGAAAAGTGGCAAGAAGAATGGCAGTGACAGTCGGTCGAGACGCGGAATCAATTCAAGATCGTACAGAGATGGCAACGAGCCACGTATCAAGGTGGAAACAACGCAAGTTGGCGGCCGTGCTGAAGACTATCGATACAGTCGCGACTACGAACGGCGCAGTCGGAGTCGCAGTCGCAGTGGTAGCGACTCTCGCTATGGAAGGGGGAGAGAAGCGACGGTCAAGTATGAGCGAGACGAGAGCCGACCGCGTAGTGGAGATCGTCGCGATCGATACGACTACGAGGACTACGGGTCGAGTGATCGGTATCGGGAACGCAGACGGGGAGACGACAAGTACGGCTCCTCTCGAGACAGATCTTCCAACTACGACAAAGAAGAACGGAGCTACGAGCGTCACAGCGCTCGAGACGTCGACTACTACCGCGATCCGTCCTACTTCGACCGTCGGGAGCGTAAATCCGATCGCAGCGGCCATCGTGAACGCGCCAGTCGCAGCAACAGCCGAAGCACAAGTCGATCTCGAAGTCCCCGGGAGTCCTCAAGGAGCAGGAAGCGTAAACGAAACTACAGCAGCCGTGGTCGCTCGGACAGTCGGAGCCGCAGCTCGAGTCGAAGCCGCAGCCGAGACCGCAGCCACTACTACCGAGCAGAGGATCCGTCTCCGTCGTCTTCTAGGAGTGGGAGAACGAACAAGAAGAACAAATACGGCACCGCTCGCTCCAGTTACCGGGACTCGGAGCGACCTCGCATCAAGCAAGAGCGAAGCGCAGCGTAGTGTTGTTGCATTGCAGCGACGTGAGGGTGAGCTGACTTGCATTATATTTTGCGTGAGGATTTAGTTTCGTTGAGTAGTTTCTTTTTAATTGATTGGCTGATGTACTAACTGAAAGGTGCTTCGTGCTGCAGCGTCGCTGTCTCTTCAACAGCGACCAGTACAGTACCCCCATACTAAGACTGAGAAATAACAACATGCTGGAGCGGAAAATGATCCTGCAGCGACGACAAGGTGTGACGAGAGCTCGTGATAGCAGCTGGTAGGCAGAGTGCCGGCTATATATTTTGCATGGATAAGAGGGAGGCGAACTTGCTTCTCGTTAGTGCACTGCATTTAACATTCTTGCGCTTCAGTCGGCTTACTCTCGGTCTGTACTTGTGCCTGTTTTTTATTTATTCTGTAGACGCTGCATGGAGTGTGAGAACGAAAATGTCAATTACAAGAAAGAAATACTTCAAGGATGCAGAAGAGTACAAGTACGATGAAGAGTGTGAAAAAGTGGACAACAAGATAATGTGGTAAAACGAGTTGAATGGAGACTGACTCGAGGTCATAAAGACCCTGAGCACATCGAAACACGGTGCGCTAATACTACATCGCACCTTCGCTGGTTAATATGCATGGACAAGCTCACGTGCTGGTCGTCGGACTGCAGCCTACTTGTAGTACGAACCCGAGAGTGAGCTCCAGCCCGACGTCTGTTTGCCGACAGCGCAGGCGATACGAGGCGTGACCTTGCTGCACACAGCGTGGAGAATAATGTTCCACTCGGGCGTATTCTCCTCCGGCAGCGGGTAGTTGAGGTCGAAGTACTCGCCGCTCTCTTTCTTGCTGTCGTCCAGCTTGAAGTATCCAAACTTGCCAGACAGATCGCCCTTCTCGCAGACAGGAGGGTCTTGGGCGTATTCCTCCGGATTGCAGCTGTACTCCGGTGTCTTGAGCAGACATTCTTCAGTACCGACGAACTCGGAGTTGGGACCGCATGCCTTGAGCGGGTCGTAGTGGTTTCCCGTGATAGCCAGTCCGCACTGCTCGAAAGACTCGGAGTCGTAGTCGTGGGGCCACTTGACGTGGATGTGCCACTTGTACTCGGTCACTTCCTCGGTGCAGTTACCGTCGAACGCCATGATCTCGCTCTGATCCACGTCGCTGAAGTCGAGATCGGTCGTGATCACGGCGAAGGTGGAGAACGGACCGCCGTATTGTACGTTGATGGTACCGCTTACGCCCGCCGAATACTCCGGGTCGAACGTGTACGTGTAGGCCGGCAACGCGCTGTAGTCGAAGCTGCCATCGTCAATGTAGCTGGAACCTTCGTCGCCGTCGGTGATGTAGTCATCGGTAGTGTAGTCGTCGGCAGTCGCAAGGGTCGCCACAGCGAAGACAGCGAGGATCTTGGAGCTCAGCATTTCGATTGAGGTCGTCGCTATAAAGTGCTGCTGCTTGTTGCGAAGCAAATTGAAGAATGACGAAGGCGAATTGCGGCGAAAATCAGCCGCATGCAAAAATCGTATCTTTTTCGAGTTAAACAGGATTTTCGGTCGTCATCTTATTGAATCGAGGAGCTACAAAGTGACTGTGAACCCAATTTGAACCTATTTGACATCATGTATCATGACTCATGATTACTTTACTTGAAGGTGGATTTCCGATCCACCACCACCGACGAGCTGAACGAGATCGAGCCAAGGAAAGCTTGCGCTTGCTGGGTCTTGCCGACGACGCTGTCACGAAACAACGGGATCGTCTTGAACGAATCCTTCACTGTAGTTAATAGTTGACGTGGACGTATGTCCAGGACCTTGTCGAGGTACAGGTTTTAGTTTGATACAGCCTCGCTTGTGGTTGTGTATCGCTGTACAGTAGTTCACCACCAACCTCCTCGAGTCGAGGCTCGACGTCTCCATTGCCAGTCTAGTAGACAATGGTGTATACTCTTCTGAGTATCTGCGAGCGGTGTGCTTGCCGTCCACCTTCGAGTGTAGCCTCGACGTTGTCCGAATCTTAAGCAGACGCACTATGGTAGCCGTCTGCACAAGTACAGCACTTTCAGCTCCACGACAAAAGAAGTAAACACACAGACCACAATCGTACTTTCGAGCCCATAGTCGTCACAGCAAATAAATGCCAGTACACATCGGCAGCAACTTCAACGCAAAGGAAGGATTGCTCCGTATTGCAATTCCAGGATATCCTGCCTTCACGCTTGGGTCGTGCTTGACAATCTCTAGACCCATCGACAACCCCGACGACAGGCACAACGTCCTGCTAGGACTTTAGGTCAGCACTAGACACGCGTCCTCGTCACGATTGCCAGTTGATGAGCGTAAATTTCGTCCTCAGGGTCGGCCTTGAAGTCGTAATATCGCTGCTACAGCTGGTGTTTGATCTCGCCACTTCTTGCTACAATTTAAACCATTTTCATCAGTCGCGGTCAAGTTGAAGTTGCCTTTTTAGCCCTCACCTGGTGATCATCCCACTTTTTCAGCAACTTTTGCTGCTGTTCCATGCGTATTTGCTTCTTCAGCTGCCACCGTTCCAGACCGACTTTTGGTCCGACCAATTTTTGACCAATGCTGCTGTGGATTAAGCTCACGGCAACGGCGCCCAGTGACGGGTTCTGCAACTTGAGCTGCGTGAGTTTAAGCTCCATGTCGCACACCTACTGCCTGAAAAACTGCAGCGCCATACGCGCTTCTTGCCACGAGGTTTCGCCTTATCGAAAATAGTCCGGGCTCTTTTAAAATGACACTACTAGGACTATTTACAATTTGGGTTGGAGCTCAATGTGCTTGACCCTCTCATTGGTCAAAACCCGTATGAACATTTCCCGCGTCTTTTCCGCGCCATAATTCAAGACATCTGCTCATTGAAGTCGTCGGTGTGTGTCCGTGCGACCTTTTCGAGACCTATCGCCCTGTGAACACCACTAGAGGCCATGGGCGTGTCCAGCCCCAAGCGCGCCGAACAGGGCGACGTCGCGGCTTCAGAAGCCTCCACAGACAGATCACAGCATGCTACGGAGATCGCAGAGACGCAACCAGAGCCAGAGCCGGAGCTGGAGATGAAGCGGCAGCAGGTGCAGACTCCAGAAGAAGAGATGAGCGTCATCTCCACCGACGTATCGCCGCACGACAGCGATTTTGACTTTTTACAGCTCAACTCAGACGCAGAATTCTCGCTTCTCACGCCGTCGCCGCATCGCCGCAGCTTTGCAGGTTCCTCTCTGGGTGTGGAGATGGTAGCAGGACCTCTAGCGTCCCCAGCTCTGTCGTCTCGATCCAGTGCTGCGTGTTCACCTTCGAGATTCTTCAAATCGCCTCTCGTGACGAGAACCAGGTCCACAGGAAAGGAGAAGCGAGCTGCCAAGACGCCGCAACGACGCTCTATTGTGCCTATCAGAGTCGCGCCTCCTAAGAGATTGCTAGAGACTATTGATTCACTCAGTGAACAGGAAAACAAAGGGTCTATAATAGATAAAGTGCAGCTAAAAGCGCCCGTGAGGAAGACTTCGACTTCAGCGACGCCTCCACGGACTCCATCGCCGTCATCCAGACAGATGCTGCTATCTCGACGACTAAAAGATGTGTTTGACCGCACCGACGATGACGAGGAGCGTGGAACTGTTCGAGGAGCAATGAAATCTCCAGCTACCGGCAGACAAGTGGACACTTCAGCCTCGCTTCTAGACGCTGACGATATCCAGTGCGCACCCAGTGGTCTATCGACGAGTCCAAGCGAGCACGACTCCTTCTTCTCCTTCGCCAACTCCCTGTCCCCACTCATGCCAGCAGAGGAGTTCGAGAACAGTTTCATGTCCGTGAGACTGTCGCCACTTGTGTCGCTCTCGTCCTACGAACTGCCGAAATTGTACGTCAATTTCCTCCCTATGGACATGATCTGTCGTGCCACACGCTCTAATCAGTGTTGCACTCTCTTGCTGTTGTTCAAACAGACTCCCACCATTTCCAGAAGACGAACATGGCAACAAAGAGACAAGCCCGTCCACAGACGTTCATAGTGGCATCCCGTTGATCCTCAAGACACCGAAGAACCGATGGAAGAATCCTCGAGGCCTCTCGTCAGCCGGATCATTAGCTGGCGGTGGTATTTCGGCTCCTGGTTCTGCCAATGGATTAGTCTCTCCCAACCTCTTTAGAGAGTCTTTTCCAAACATCCAGGCGTCGACAAGCGCAACGCCAGGCAGAGACGAACGGTCAAAGCTTGGAGGTCACAGCGTAATGAAGATGAAGCTCCACACGTCGTTCGGAGACTCTCCGTCACCACCGGACTCGCACCACACTCGCGAGATCCAGGCCATCAATAAGAGCTTGTAAGTCTGTCACATTGGAAGATCCGGTGCTGAAAGTACGAGTTAACTTTGTGTGTCTGGCTCGTAGGAAGCGAAAGAAGTACATTCGTCGTCGCAAAGCAGAAGAGAAGCGTCAGCAGCCTTCGTCTTCCGGTAATGTCCAACGCAAATTGCTGCAAACCCCGGTCAAGATAGCTGCATCACCGCGTCCTGCGCGGTCGCCGTTGCATCCTTGGAACGGCCAAACACCGGATGCTCATCATTTCAAGACTCCAACACCTCGAAAGCTCGCTCCAAGTCGTTTAAACAGAGCTGGCACTTTGATGGAAACGCCCCAATCTCCACCACTAGCGCGCAGATTGATCCCAGCGTCAGAGCCAACGCCAGCAGCATCCACCACACCTGTGAACAAGAAGAAGAAGCGAAAAGCGTCTCACTGCGTCTCGATGCCGTCGTCGATCGCCAACCTGTCAGGACTGAAGATGCGGAAGTCTTCCTTGGGAGTTCGACAGGCGGTTGCTCTAGCGATCACACCAGCCAAGCAAATCAAGCGAGAAGCAGAAGCAGCAGCAGCAGCTCTGGGCCCGTTCACTATGCTGACACCGCAGCTAGACCCCGGGAGCGTCCTGACTTCGCTCGACAGCAGTATACTGAAGACGCCAACGCTTATAGGACCTTCAACTTCACTGACGATGTCGTTGCAGTCAGCGTCCAAAGCTCCTCTCGCTCCTGCAGTCGTGATGATCCCAGCTCCCAAGAAAGCCCCGTGCAACTGCAAGAAGTCCAAGTGTCTTAAACTCTACTGCGAATGCTTCGCTAGCGGTGGATACTGTGACGAAAGCTGCAACTGTCTCGACTGCGCCAACACGACGGCGGCAGAGGACGTTCGACAGCAAGCCATCGCGTCGCGACTGGAGAAGAACCCGAACGCCTTCAAGCCCAAGATCGGAGCCACTTCTACAATGGTTACTGTGACTTCAGGAGGAGCTCGGAGGTTATCAGCAGACAGGCGAGCTTCAACAGGGACCTTTCTGTCACCTCCAGGTCAGCTGAGTCTTCAGCAACGGCAGCTCTTAAGTGCTGGAATGGCGACCACGAAGATGCACAAGCACGGGTGCCATTGCAAGAAGTCAGCGTGTCAAAAGAAATACTGCGAGTGCTTTCAAGCGGGCGTGTCTTGCGGAGAGAATTGCCGCTGTATTGTAAGTGAAACCAGCCTTTACTGTGTTACTCGAGGCATGTTGCTGACCTTAAATTCGACAGGACTGCAAGAACCAGACACCGTGTGTGGCTCACGCGAATGGTGGGGTAACGACGGGCTCAGGTGTGATCGGTACGCCATCTAGCGAGATCGACGAGACGTTTGTATCGCCTGTACTTCAGGGTGCCCACAGGCGAATGCGCATTGATCGTGAGACTTGGAAGAAGGACTTTTCTTCACCGTTTGAGGCTTCTCCAGGACGCGAGCGGGAGCGCACAGAGCTACTACAGTCGAGGCTTTTGGCATCACGAGGTGGTAGTGGAACTCCACCGAGTGTCCGCGTGAGGGCGATGCCATTCACTTCACCACCAACGCCTCAACTAACCTATCGAACTATAGTCAAGCGCTCGCGTAAGATGTCACCAATCAGAGGAGACGGCGAACAACAGCGATCTGGCAGCGCAGGAGCTGCGCACAGTTTACTGTTGTTGAAGAAGCGAGAGTTGCAGCAGTACTCTTTTGACAAGAGTAGCAGCAGCTTTGGGAAGGCTGCGTTGTCAGCTGTGGTTCGATGCACGAGTGGAGCCGAACGAGTCTTCGTGTTGCCGCTGTTTGGAGCAGCTCTTCCTCCGCTAGAAAGCGGCGTTAGTGCCAAGATCTTCCGCTTTCTCACGAACGCCGACCTGCACAACGCGAGTTTGGTGAGTCACCTCTGGAACCAGGTTGCTCTGGGCGAGACTGTCTGGGACCACGCCAACTTCATCCCGACAGCTGATAGTGCACCGCTGTCACGCCAAAAGGAAACACTTGAGACGTCAGTGACGAAACTGGAATCGTGCGCTGTCAGCTTCGAGAACAGGCAAATGGCGACCATTATTAGAAAGCATGAGCCAAACCTTGCCGTGCTGTCGACTCTAAGGTAAGTACAGGATAGGAAGTAGTGAAGGTAATTGAGCTTAGTAGTAGGATAGGAACACAGATGTTGTAGTAGCCGCGCTGCTGAAGTTCACAGCAGACCAGCAAGAATCGAGCCACACGAAATATGTTGAAGACGACTACAGTAGTATTGTGCATTTGGCGTGCTTACGGAAGTCTCACGTTCTTCAGGGCGACAGCTTGGGCATGCGGCGACGGTTGTCAAGCGAAATGTGCTGCATGCGAACAGCGCCCAGGATGACTTCAGGCAGCTCTTCGTCGGTCTGGGCTTCGAGCAGGAAGGCCATGTCCACCACCAGCGACTTGGTCACTCCCTGCACCATCCCCACCACTGTGTTGGCGACCGAGTTGGAGGAAATGTCGATGTCCACTTCGAAGTAGTTTTCTCCACGGTGATATGGACACTTGAGCTTGTTACCGAGCAGCGTCGGCTTGGACCCGACCGATTGTTTGATGATGAAGCTGCCTTCAACGACGGTAGGGATGAGCTTGAAGCGAGAGTTCCGGAACTGGTCGTCGCCGTCGAAGAAGTCGTTCAGTAGCTCGGAGAAGCCAGAGCCGTCCTCGAACACATTGTCGCGCACAGGGTGGAAGTAGAAGACCATGCAGACATTCTCTGGACCTGGGATGATCATGTTGACTACAAACGTGAACTTGGAGCTGGTGCGGCCGACACTGTCCGATCGAGACGAGATGTTGTACCTCTCAGCAGGACTCTCAAAGGACAAGAGATCGACACCCACAGTATGGAACATGGCGGGGGCCGAAGGGATCTTCTTCTTGTCGGTCAGGTAGTTGTGTCCTCGAACACTAAACAGCGAAGCGTCCGGCTCGCCCCACATCTTCTCTGGGAGACTGGTCTGCAGTTTCTGTACGCCCATGACGACGCCCATCGAGTCCACACTGGTTCGCTGTGTAAAATTGTTCTCCTGCGGTCCAGTCTCCGAGCTCTCGCCCTCTGCTGCAGGCGCCATCGAGACATTGGGCGTGATGAAGTCTGTAGCGCTCATTTCATCACGAATCCCCACGACACTACGCAGCATTGGCATTACGAGATCCACATCCATGCCAAGCTGGTGGTAAATACGGGACCAACCGCCAGGATCGTAACGAAGCACGTAAGTAACCAGAGTTCGGATCGATCCACTAGGAACACGCTGGGGAGCGATAACGAAGCCGCCGCCCAGTAAGTTCGCTCGCACATAGTTGTGACGCACCCGACACTCGGGATGCTCGATGCTCTGGTACATGACAAAGTACGATCCGTCCTCTTCGCGTCTCCAGTAGCGCATGAGCACAAGGTCACGAGCTTTCTGCCACAGAGGCCACAAGTGCGTCGGTCGCTGCGTAATGTACACGATGTCAGCGTGGTCATCCAGCTGCTGCACCACACGCATCGTCGCCGTCCCCGAGTCCCATCTCTGGAATCTCTTGGGGTTCATGAGGAGTCTGAAGACTTCAGTTGGAGAGCCATGTACTACTTGGGACACACGGAAGCTCGGGATCTCGGGCGCCTGGGTAGGGGTCACTGCAGCGCAGCATACAGCAATAGCCACTAGTGCCGTCATAAAGCTCAGCAACATGTTGCTCGCGAACGAATACATGCTGCTAAAGCTCAGCGCTGCGCCCACACACGCACTGAAGATCAGTCCGTTGGTTGTGGCTGCTTGTTGAGCGAACAGATTGGCCGCAACGTTGGGACCCAGTGGACATTCCTGCATGATCCGGAGTCCTCCTTCCACCCTGGCCAACCACCAGGCTTGCTCCGCCTTGTCGTTGTCTGCGTCCAAGTTAAAGAGAGACATCGTGTCTTCATCGGCCTTCAACATCCTCGGCACGTGGGTGGGCGTGGGGAAGATCTCGGCGTCGTTCTTGAGCTTCTTCTGATGCGCCACCAGCTCTTGCAGCGACCGCACGGCGTTCTCCAGCGCGCGTTTCCATTCCTTGGCATTCTCCTCACTCTTGGCTCCTAGATCCAGAAATCGGTCCTTCTTGTACGACTTTTCTCCGTTCACTGCGTCGCCCAATGCAAAAGTGATGCGGAACATCCACACGGGTCCGTGGTGTTTGTGTTTCTCCTCTGAGTTGAACACGGGGCTCACCACACAGCCATCACTCAGAATGTAGGTCCCACGAGGTGCAGGGTCGCCGCGTTTGCGGTAGTAGCGGAGCTGGTTGCCGTCCAGGAGGAAGTAGCGATCCACTGGAGAATACACAAATTATGACACATAGTTTGTGAGTCTTCTACTAAGAGTTTTGAGGTGGAAATTGCGTGAATGAAGAGATCGTACGCCAGATAAGATTCATGTGGTCGCGGCGCTTGGTGAGCCATCCCTCCATCGTCGTGAGCGGCTAGACAGCGCAGGTGTCGAGACTTAAATGGGAGGTGGCGGATTTGCGACTGCCGGGACAGATTTGGGACATTTTGGTCCGATGGACGTAATACTCAGTTGCAATTGGCTGGATTTTGGGCAGAAAAAGGCTTAGATTGTGACAGTTGACGACAAAAAGACAACTTGTTCAAAATGAGCTTTTAGTGATGCACAAATGAACGCAATTCTCTTCTGCAACAGACCGCAACGTGCCCCTTGGTATTTGGGTAACGTGCCGCCTTAGAAGCCCATCCAGCCCGTGTACCAGCGGTTCTTGAACTTGTAGGCGTTCGTCATCTGGCGGTACATGAACACGAAGCCCACAGCGCAGCCCACGATGGACAGGTAGCGCACAGCGGGGTTGCGCACGTACAGCGCCCACTGCGACAGCAGGATCATGAAGACAGCAGCGGCCACGTCGTAGCCGCCAACAATGAGCCCCTCGTAGACGAACTGCTGGCGACCCTGAGGGTGGAAATACTGGATGTTACCCTTGCGGTCGGCCGTGTAGGGCGGCGGGTTGCGGATGATGCAGTACACCATTCCCGAGACTGAGAGACCGTAGAACAGCAACGAGACTGTCATCCAGAGCTGTTTGCGACGCAGTTTGGCCATCACGTAGTCCAGGTGGGACAGCACCAGCTTGGCCGTGAATGCGGTGGAGGCCAGCGCAACGACGAGCAGCACGTAGAGGAACGTCTTGGATCTCTGGATAGCGAACTCAAAGCCCGTACGTTGCTTCACAAAAGTGGCCATGGACTCGGCCTCTTTGCCCTGCGAGTAGACGTTGTAGAGGTTGTGGGGCTCCACTTTGGACTTCTTAGGCATGCGGTCGCCGGCGTCGATGGAGCGGTCGGGCGCCACGTACACCACGTGAGGGGCAGATGTGAACTCGTACATGCCGAAAGCGTCCTGGTTGGTCTCAAAGTCCACGATACCGAAAAAGACCTCGTGCCCATCACGAGTGTCCACTTTGACCTGCTTGGCAGCCTCGTAGCTCTCGCCCAGAATCTCAAACTCGGGAGATACCTGTGCACACGTCTCGCACTTGTACTTTGCGGCCGTAGCTGTAAACAGAAGCACCAAGTGGTACGGACGGTCCGGTCGCACGGCGTAGCGTCCGAAGAGTTCGCTCGTAAACGGGATCACACCGTCGCGCACGCGGCCCTGCAGCTGGGCCAGCTTCTCGCTGCCCTTGAGTGGAGAATCCTTTTCCTTGCGACTCTTCTTGGCTTCAACGTCCACTGTAGACCAGCTCGCCACCACCAGTAGCGTCGCCAGCAGCGCCAGCAAGCACATCGTTCCCCGAGCCATTGTCACTCGAACTCGCCACGTGGAGGATCGAAAATGAAGATGCCAACTGCATTTGTTGTTCCCATTTCCACCAATCCAAACGCGTATGACTTCTTTGTCCGAAGCAAAATGTCCCCCTTTTAAACCCTCCTTCAATGGACTGCGTCATTTAAATCGGGACACAAAGAGTTGTTTTCAGCGAATCCGAGGCGTGATTTTTAATTGTGTTTATTACAACTTGAGTACACAGTTGATATTCAGCAGCGATCCCATGGCGGTCCCGACGGCGGAGGAGAGCGCGCGGCGCTTCAAGATGGTCTACATTGGCGCGTCACTGCTGGCCATGATCATCTCCACATACACGACGCTGTACGGACCCATGGACCTGTCGGCGCCCTCATCCGCGCCCTTAAGCGCACAGTCAATTGATCAATTGACACATGCGAACTCCTTCCGGTGGGGAACTTATCGTCCTGGTCTATATTTGGGTATTCGATCTCGCACATCGCCCGATTTTGTGTCGGCTGGACTATTATGGGGCTCACAGCTTGAAGACGTATCACAAATCCGACACCAATGTCGACAAGAAGACCGACTTCAACGTTACGGCTGGCTGCAGCACGACGGGACCAATTATGGACTGCAAAAAGTGGAGGACCAATTCAACCGCCTGGAGCTCAGCACAAGTTACGCTCGAGTCCAGACACCAGACATTCAAGGATGGGCGGCTAGAGTCCAAGCAGGTCCAGTGACTCCCAAGGACGAGAGACTGAGACGTCGACAGGTGCAGAATAACAAGGTTTCGCTCTTCTTCTATGTAGATTTGGGCTGTGGGGACGAGAGTCTGGAGCTGCCGTGTCGACAGAAGCTGCAGAACTTGGTGGAAGTCGCAGCAGAGCCCACGACGTTGCAGTGTGGAGAGCAGAAGGAGCAGTGTGTGCAGATGGTGCTGGAGAGTGAAGGTCCTGAGGGGGACAAGGAATCAGCTCCTCTAGCCTTCCAGATGCAGATCCAACTCAAGACTCGCTCGTCTGTGCGTGGAGTGAAGCTGCACTATGCTGGGCTTAGAGATACCAACGTGGTCAACGTGAAGGACAAACTGTTGTCCTTGGCTCGACGTCCAGGTGGAGAGAACAACAAAGACTTGACGGCAGACGAGGAGGTTCAGCTGGAGGATTTTATCGAAGAAGGAAGCACGCTGGTCGTGGTGCAGGCTATTGTCAGTGTGGATGATACGTTCGAGGAAGGCGACGTGACGCTGGATGTGCTGTTTAATGAGGCTGCGACATTTACTGCTGCTGACGTTGTGAAGCTTCCTATTGATCTTCTTATCACTGAGAAGCTGACAGAGTACTCGCAGCAGTTTGACGATAAATTCGAGACAACTTTCCATCTCTCGACGAAGACGTGGCCGGGGGATGGCAAGGAGACTCCGTTCAACGACAGTCTGGTGGTGTTCGCCAAGGCAGCTTTCAGCAACTTAGTTGGAGGCACTGGCTACTTCTACGGCAGCTCATTGGTGCAGCATGACCCGGAGAGGCCCGAGGTTGTCGAGTCTCCTGCCAAGTCTCTGTTCACAGCGGTCCCATCGCGCTCTTTCTTCCCTCGTGGCTTCGTGTGGGACGAAGGTTTCCACCAGATCGGCATCTCGGCGTTCGACGACGCAATTACGCGAGATGTGATCGCTCACTGGCTTGGCTTGATGGAAGAAGATGGCTACATCGCTCGTGAGCAGATCTTGGGCCAAGATGCGCGTCGTCGTGTGCCCAGAGAATTCCTCGTACAGCATGTGGAACACGCCAATCCTCCCACTTTGCTGCTGGCTTTAGAGAAAATGATGCAGTGGCACAAGGCTGCAGACTCGGACGAAGACCTGAAGGCGTTTGTGCGTACCGTTTTCCCGTTCCTGAAGCGTTGGTACAGCTGGTTCCTGAAGACGCAGTATGGTCCACACGACGCGAGTTTCCGCTGGCGAGGCCGCCTCCCAAATGACGGCAAGCTGATCTCCAACACGTTGTCATCAGGTCTAGATGACTACCCTCGAGCGTCGCGTCCGAGTGAGAATGAAATGCACGTGGACTTGCTCTCGTGGATGATCCGCTCGAGTAATGTTATGGCCAAACTTGCAGACTTTATCGACCGAGATGCTGACGTCCAGCTCTTTGAGAGTAACAGTGCTCACTTTCTCTCTGGACTGGACGAGCACCACTGGAATGAGGAAGCGCAGTCGTACTTTGATGTGGGCGAACACAGTGAAGACGGCGTGATTGAGTACCAGGTTGCTGTGCGTTGCCGTAATGAACAGGGCCAAGTTGTGGACGCCACGGCTCCTATTGCGCAGATTGAGACTAAGCAAGTCAAGTGCCCGGATAGCCATCCGAACTTCATGTTCCCGCTAGGTGACGGCCGTGGTGGACTGCAGATGTTGCCTGTGTTTGTTCCGCGCACGACGAAGCTGCAGCATGTGAAGCATGTCGGCTACGTCAGCGTGTTCCCGCTTCTCCTTAAGGTACTGCCGCCTGAGTCGCCGAAGCTGCTTGCATTGCTGAGGCAGATGACGGACCCAGCGCAGCTTTGGTCGCCGTTTGGACTGCGCTCTCTGTCGACGCAAGATCAGTTCTATGAACAAGAGAACGCACCAGGAGACAACCCATATTGGCGCGGAGCTATCTGGATGAACGCTAACTATCTGGCTTTAGACGCACTGCACTACTACGCGCAGCCGAGCACGGGCAGTCCGTTCCAAGAGGAGTTTGCAGCGGCGTATACTGCACTGCGGGCGAATGTAATTGCCAATATCTACAAGGAGTACGAACGCACTGGATACCTGTGGGAGCAGTACAGTGGCGATATCCACGCTGGACAACAGTACGGTCAGGGACAGCGGTGTCACCCCTTCTCGGGCTGGACGGCACTCGTGGTGAACATCATGGCGGAGATATACTAGAGAACAAGCTGTGACGCGAACTGGCTTAGCGTGAACATGAAATGGACGTGATTACCTTGCGCTTCCATTTACTATTTACTTGGTACTTCACGAACACTACCGATAATTTACACGAGATAGTTGGCTGGGCAGGAGAGGGGATCCCAGTCATCGGGTTGCTCAGTTCTTGACATTGGTCGGATGAAACGCCGAGTGTACTTTGGAACCCCAACAGGACCCGTCGAGTCGAAGGCGATCTGCGCATTAGCAGTTGCTAGCGCAAACGCTACGATTGCGCAGTGGTAGGACCCACCGTGTTGCCAGCTTAGTGCAAGCTCGTTCAGGTAGTCTCGATCGATGTATGTGTGGCTGTAGTACCACCAAGCCACTGTCACCAAGAGCCCAAGCAGGGCACTTGTAAAGCTGGACAAGGGGTGACAAGCTGTGACGTTGCGTGAGTAGAACACCGACGACAGTCCGATACTCACCGTCGTAAAGAATCCCCACAGCGCCATGGTATACTTGACGGTCTCCAGTACAACGAGACATGCCACATTTTGTGCGCCCTGCATGTACCAGCTGAGTTCACCACGTGTGTGACACCAACAGGACAGAGCCTCAGCGATCAGGAAGTCCTGGTTGTTTGTATTGCCGCTTTCTAGATGCGACGGGGCCATTGCGAGAGCGTCGGGGCCTTCACTCGGCCAGTCATCAGGTTGTCGAGAGTTCTCGAGAATGGCGTGCAGGAACGACTGACATTCGGAGCTGCCGTTGGTGAGTCGTAAGCAATAGCCGTCAGGTGCAAACGTGAGCTGGCTCACATAGTTGTTGCCGCTAGCTGAAGGGTTGTCGAGGCTCTTGAGCTCGATGACTGCCCATGACTGCAGATACACAGCAGCGATCACCAGTACGAGAACTGCGAGTTGCAATACGAGTTGGAGGATCTGAAAGCTCTGCAGCATGGTTGACTGATTTAAAGACGACGAAAGTGAGCGATGGTGCGATTATCAGACTATGACAGCAAAAAAGGCAACTTCCACCTTGCCATGAAGCCATCTCCCACACGCATTTCAAAACGACAGCCAATCACCGTCGAGGACGATTGCAAATGTGCAGCTCTGCATGTAGCTCTTCCGCCATCCATCCCTTGCGCTATTAAACTATATTAACAAGAGCATCAACAAGTAAGAAGAGAAATGCCTTGGTTACCATTGTAGACATACTTGCCATACAAAGATGAGCCTGTATAGTTTGTGACTGGTACAGTAATAGGAGATGACGTTGAAGATGACACTTTACCGGTAGTCTCCATTTCCGAACCCTCGTCGAACCCGTCGCGCCTTCAGCGCTAATGGAAACAGCGACATCCTCCTCTTCTACTTCTAGTTGTGATTTCGGCTGCTTGGAGATTTTCTTACCGGTATGCGCCTCCAATGGCCAGACATTCGGCAACGAGTGTGAGTTTAACCGGACAAAATGCACGTCTGGCGATGACACACTGGCGATCGTATCGCGTGGAGCATGCAACAGTAGAAATGGCAGCGACAGCGGTGACAGTAATTATTCTTGTTTATTGGAATTCGCGTGTCTGGACGTGTACACGCCCGTATGCGGCTCCGACGGACAGACCTACAGCAACGACTGTTTCCTAAGACGAGCGCGATGCCTTAACTCGTCATTAACCTTGTTATTCGATGGAGAGTGCAGCGGTTCAACTGCTAGCGAAAGAGATGACCCTGTCGATCATTTTTCGACCTCTGCGTCTAGCTCACAAGTCTGCGCTGAGAGCTCCTGCACGAAGGAATTTAAAGCTCTGTGTGGCTCAGACGGCGTCACGTATGGCAACAAGTGCCTCTTTCGCAACGCACAATGCGTCAATTCGTCGCTCACAATTGCGTTTGAAGGAGATTGCAGCACCTCGTCGGCATCTTCAGCGTCGATCACAGGACCAGGACCTGCACTTAGATCGGAAACTTCTATCAGCTCGGAATCAGCCTCCGATTCTGCCAGCATCTCTCGCAAGAGCTTCGCACTTGTCTCCATTATGGCTGTACTAGAGGCAGTAGTAGCTGCACTTACGTTATAGCTGTATGTTAGGCGTTCGTTATCATCTGCAAGTGCGTGTAAGAATTAATTCCAGCTCCATTTAATTAACCCTTTATGAGTCACCACTGGTGCCCGTTCAGAGGTCGCGCATAACTGCCGCCTGTGAACCTTCGATGTCTTCGCGTAAGCCTCGCAAGGGCTCTGCATGGGCCCCAGACTCGACCGAGGCACTTTTCGACGATGGTGTTAGCGACGACCACAGTCGAGAGCGATGGAAGCGAGCTGTACAGACCCAAGAAGAGCAGCAGACTCTGCTGCATCGCACCGTCGTGGTTTCCAAACGACAAAACCTCGAGCTGCAGTACGAACGAGTACGTTTACATCCTGTCTCCACTCAAGTCATCGCTGCTAACTAGTTGGTGGATTGCTAGATTGCCAAACAGCGAGCCTTTATCCGCCGTGAGAAGCGAAAATTGTTGCTTCAACACGCTCTGCTGACCTCCGAGCGCGAACGCTTCGATGCCTCGCGTTCCTCCGACTGGTTCTGTCTCTCCTCGTTCCCCGCAGCAAGTGATCGTCGCGTGACTGTCGATGTCGGTGGCCAACTCTTTGAGCTCTCAGCAGCAGTGGCGTTGAAAGACTCAGCGTCGTTACTCGCTGCTTTCGTCCAGGACGATTCACCCCTCAGCGGCGCTGAAAGTGGCTGCTTTCGCGTGGATCGAGACTGGAGTCTATTCCGCCACATCCTACGCTTCCTACGCGATGGATTCTTGCCATCCGACCCAAAACTGCTGCGTGACTTGTACGTGGAGAGCGAGTTTTGGCGCTTTGAGTCGTTGCTGAAAGCCATAGAAGCCAGGAACTTGGAGCTGTGGAAGCTCAACCAAAACTCGAAATGCTCAACGAAAGACACGAAGAAAGAGACGAGGGATTCAAGTGAATGGTGGCTGGATCCGCCGTCATGGTGGGGGACTGCTGGTAGTAGTTGCAAGACCAAAGAGAAGAGGCCTCAGACGACTCTGAACGCCTTCAAGAAGAGCGTCAAGACGACCCCCAAGGTGAATAAGGGAGGCAAGGACAGTGATGAAGAAAGTGAAGCGTGGTGGAGGAACTCCAAGTACAAAGGCACCGATTACATGGACATCCTCGTGAGAGATACGACCGTCCACGACGACGTCTGGACCCCGCGTAGTCCACTACTTACGAATCACACCTGGGAGGCTTCAATGACCCCCAAGAAGTAATACCTGTGTAGCTACTCTAGTTGCTCTGTCTGCTGCGCCTTGTAGGACAGGAAGTCAAACGCCAACGACTCAAAGTGCGAGAATGGACACAGCGGGTCGTGCGTGTGGCCCGCAAAAGTCACCACCTCGTTCTCATACAGTGGTTTGACGAAAAACTCGTGTGTAGCCATGTCCTCGTACACTTCCAACGCCAACATAGTGCCATACTCAGGCAATTGCGAGCCCACGTCGATCTGCAAAGCTCCCAGCAGAGCCACAATCGAGTTGTCGTGAGCTGAGAAGAAGGAAATCTTGGCTGGCTGCGTGCTCTCGACTACGGACTTGACAAACTCGTAGACTTCCTTGACGCCGTCTCTGAACGCTTGATAGCAAAAGTCTTTGGAATGATACAGACGCTGCCAGAGCCACGTGTCGTAGGCCTCAACCTGCTCGAAGGTCGTGTGGTCGACGCCCTCAGGGAACGGCCAGCCATGCGCTTCTCGACACGTCAGCGCGTCCCGAATTGCCGTCCAAGACAGAGGCTGGTTGTCCGGTACCCCCAGACACTCACGCAGATGCAGAGCAAGTTTCTCCATGGCGTCACGCTCGATCTCACTCCTTAACGCGAGCACATCGTCGTGTACAATGAGTTCGATCTCGTTAAACACTTGCAGTGGGTGCATGGGCGCCAGTACGTTGTGCTTGTACGTGTGCACATAGAACTGCGGGACTTTCTTCTTCTGGGCTTCTCCATCATAGAAGAAGCCTCGTAGCAAGCTCTGCACCGACTCAATGGTGCGTGGCACACTGCTGGAGAGCACGTAGACGTCCTCGACCTTTACGTCGTCGCCCACCAAATGTCCGTAGCGCTCTCGTAGCATTTGCCCCTTTCCAGTCATGTGTTTGACGCCCTTCTGGGTCAGCAGTCCGTAGGGATATTGAGACTCCTTCGAGGGTCGGATGACCGGAGGCTGCGTCTCGTCGGCGCCCACGGGTTTGGCGGTCCGCTGGAGCAGCTCAAGTTGCTCCGATGTCGCCACCTTGGAGGCCCAAAAGTCTTTCTCTTCTTGCGTCGGCTCTACTTTGCTGCCGATGGATGTGAGGACCGGAGTGCGGTCTCCGTGGCGGTGGAAGATGAGTACATGGCGCAAAGTCAAGTCCCTACTAGTCGACGAGGATGTAGCCATTATCAGAAACAAGTTTTTCGGTGAGCACTTTAAGGCACTGCTGGAAGATTGCGATGTGAGCTCTTGAATAATCTTCCCACAAGAAAAATACCGGTAGTACCGGTCCAGATTCAACTACTACGTAGTATTATCGTGGAGACAAAAAATCAAAGAAGTGAGAATATCTGAAAATGTTGATATTTTGGTATTATACTATAGTAGTATTTAAATTTCGACGAGTCATACTCGATCTTACAGAACGTTATCTCGTGTCGTACACTGGAGCGATTCATTGCTGGCACAGATAAAGGTGGACAAATAATTAGGCACGTTCACAATGCAGCGCCTGGTTGTTGCACTTGCAGGAACCTCTGTGCCGCTTGCGCGAATACGTCGAAGGGACACAGGGCCGAGTGCTCATGGCCGGCGAATGTCACCTCGACACCTTCAAACAGAACCTTGAGGTAGAACTCGCCCGTGACGCGGTGCCGGAAGACTTCGAAGATCAGCATGGCGCCGTAGGGAGGAATCACGCGCGGAACCCGCAGCTGCAGCGCGTTCACGAGCGCCACAACCGAGTTGTCGTGAGCCGAGAAGAGCGCCAGTCTGTGCTTCGTCACGCCCTGCAGCAGCAGCTGACAATGTGAGCAAAGAACTACAGTAGAGAAGCCATTTGAGTCCGTCGACAGCAGACCTGCGTGACACTTGTCAGGTACGAATAGATGCGCTGCACGCCAGCCTTGAAGCTGACCCGACAGAAGTCCATCCTGCCGTACAGGTGGTGCCACAGCCAGGCGTCGTACTCGCAGATCTGAGCGAAGAGCTGCTGACTGAGGCCGTCAGGGAAGGCCAGACCGTGCGCTCGACGGCAGACCAACACTTCACGCACTTTAGAAGAGCAACAAGCGGTTAGAAATGATAACAGAACAATTGCAGACAACGCCGAGATTATTTGACGCACACCCTGTCCAGGCGACCAGCTTGCTCGACTTTGCTCCAATGAGCGCGCTGATTCTCTGCGACGCCTCAGCAAACCCCGGTGGGGCATGTTTTCTTAGCTCTTCCGCCAGCACCTTGCCTAGATCTTGGTACAACTCGTACGAATGCTGCGGCACCAGACTATTCGAGTCGTCCGCATGGATCGCAAACACCTCGTCCTTTTTCATTCTCCTGTTCGTTTGCATGTTCTGTAAAAACTGTCTACTATCTGGTAGAAGTTTCTCAATGGATGCCAGAGTGTTATCCGCATTCACGTTGGCAAAGTACTCTGGAAAGAGTCCAGCCAAAAGACTCTGCGCTGAGCGGATGGTCCTCCTGATGTTGGTGGACTGCACACGGACCTGTTGAACAGGGTCCTGCATGTCCTCTATCAGCTTCTTGTATCTTTCTCTCAGCTGTTGGCCCTTCGCTCGCATCATGTCAATTCCTTTGGCTGTCAGCTGTCCACAGGGCCAACGTCCTCCTTGCTGAGGCGGCGGTGGCACCTCAAATTGCTGACCGAAGCAACTCTCTTCGCTGCATTCTCCGTCATGGTAGTTAGTCACCCTCGTCCCACTATTGAGTGCTCCAACGACGCTGAGCTCTGCCAAGCGCGAAACCCAGAAGTCGGTTTCGTGCTGCGTCATCTTCACTTTCGAGCTGATGTTGCGGCTAATAGGGGAGCGATCTCCATGGCGGAACAACACTGACACATGTTCCAGCACCAGATCCTTCTCTTCTACGCTCTCGTCGCTCCCTGTGTGGTCTACAGCGCTTGCGTCGGGCGACTCCGGACGTGGAGCCATGATGGAAGCTCGGATAATAAATGATGCGCAAGCAAAACCCTCCAAATTGAATTGTGTGTTTTTTTTAATTTGTATGCTTGTCTCTCATACTTTATTGCAAAAGCAGCGATCAAAATGCTGAGCAGCTCCGTGTCTCGAAGTGTAGTGCGGCGAGTGCTGTTACGCGGCCTGTCGAGCTCTGTAGCCCCACATGCGTTGCCATCAGCTTCAGTAGACGTCAAACTTGTACTGGAGAGCAGCATAGCCCGCAGAGAGTCGTCGCGCGCTCTTGCAGCCTTCGACAAGCTGGAACAAGATGCTTCGCTCCAGGACCCTCAGCTGCTGCAGCGTCTGGCGCTGCTTGTAGCTAAGCGTGGGCAGCCGCACGAGGCTCCGAGAGCCGCGCAGATCCTTCGGCATTTGCTTTGCCAGCCAAACTTTGAGGCGGACGACGCAACGCAACTAGCAGCCATCTACACAATGGACTCGTGTCTGCGGGTGAGGCGACTGGAGGACGCGCTGTCGTTGTTCCAAGCAGCAAAAGAGAAGGACATCCTGGTGGACCTCCCGGCAGTGAACGCAATGCTCGAGGCGCTGGTGGACGCACACCGAGTGGACGAAGCTGCGACGATCCTCAAGAGCATAGCAGCGCAGCACGACGTGAACCCCACCGAGCAGACGTTCCAGCCTGTGCTGGTGGCTGTGATGCAGCAGAAACGATACGAAGATGTAGTGGCTGTTATTGAGCATGGGAGAACGCATGGCGTGGACTTTTCTCCTGAGGTACGAGAAATTTTGGGAGGGATATTCTGAAGAGGGAGATAGAGAAACTCATTCTTGTGGACTGTGGTAGACGTACGACCCGCTGGTGGATCTATCGCTGGAGCAATACACGAAAGCGGACGTGGAACGATTAGGCATTTTCATGGAGTATATTAACAGCGCTTTGGATGCAGACGGGGTGAGTAGTGATTGAGGTTGACGTAGAGAGAGAGTGCGATGGACTGATGACAATGTGCTGCTGCAACAGTATTGGAACTACGATGAGGACGATGAAGACGACGATGGAGACTTTGAGGACGATGAATTCGAGGACTTTGACGATGAGTTCGACTAGCTCAAGCCCGCATGCCAAATAGAGAGCTTATTCTGATAGATATTACTTTAGGTTAGTTACATAGTGATATTTCACAAGGCGTAGTGCTCTGCGCCTCCACTTTTCTCTTTCCCTACCAGCTCACTGACGAGCTGCTGTGCCGTCGGACGCGTCGCTGGATCTTGAGCCAAACAAGCCGAGCCCACTCTGAGTATCCGAGGAGGACAATCGCTCGAGAACGTCGGCCGCAACGCCCCCGACACGACGTCTTGCAAGATCTGGACAGGCTTCACTCTGCCGCCAGCTCCCGTCAACGCGTCGTGGTAGGGAATCTTGCCAGTATCCAGCTCTGACAAAACGACGCCGAAGGAATAAATGTCTGCCTGCTCCGTGTATCGCTTGCCTTCCAAGATCTCCGGTGCAGTCCAGTATGGTGTGCCCACTCCAGCTGTCATGGTGAGGTCGGCAGTCCCACGACTCACTCCAAAGTCAATGAGCTTCGGTTCCAACATGTGAGTCAGCAAAATGTTGGTCGACTTTAAGTCTCGGTGGATCAGAGACGGGGTGTGACCGTGTAAATAGTCCAGAGCTTGAGCGATGCCGACAGCCATGTGGATTTTATCTCTTGCCCACGATAACAAGTCTGCGTTCTGGTCCAGATAAGTCTGCAGACTCCCCATAGGAACGTACTCCAGCACCATCACCAAGTTGTTGAGGGTGTTCCAAGCCACTCCAATGAAGCTGACAACATGAGGGTGATCCAGACTAGCAGTCAGCTCGATCTCTTCAGCAAACGCTTGGACGTTTTCAGCCTTTTGCTGTTTGTTCTGCAGTAATCTCTTGATGGCAACTTGCTGTCCGTTGTGTTCGCACAGCCACACTTCTCCTGACGAGCCCTTGGATAGAGCTTGTTGGTATGCGATACTCTCGTAAGGCATCCGCTTCTCCGTTAGATGCTGACTACGAAGCAGAATCTTTAGCGTTCTACAGGACCCAGCACTCTCGTACGTTGAGAGGAACGATCCCTGCGTCGTCATGACTGTGGGTCGAAGAGCAGGATCGGGTGTGCCAGACGTGTATTTCGGCAATGGTACGGTACTTCCACTCATATATTGCGGCGAGACTGTAGCCAGGTCACACGTGGTGGACACCGTCTCGTCAATCTTGTGCTCTTCCTTCCGTTTCCAGTAGAACCGGCCGACACCAATCACTGCGACGAAGACTACAGCCCCCGAGATGATGGGAATCAACAGCAGTGTATCAAAACCAGAACCTTGAGCAAATTCTTCTTCCAGCCACTTTGCCACCCATGCGCTTCCAGTCGGTGTGTTCATAGCTTCCATCTCTTGGTCTGTAAACTCGTCTCTCCTATGGCATGGCACTGTTACCGCCCCGTAGCCATTGTCTGCAGGACAAACGTTCCAAGCTGGATCGTCAGCCACCGAAGTGGTGTGGACAGCGTAGACACTATAGGAAACTTCAGTCACGGGGTCCACCCACGAGTGATCTCGAAGTCGAATGTACGGGATCATGTCCAGGTCTCCACCCACCGACCACATTGAGCCCAAGTAGCTGGTAGCAGCCGAGTCCACGAACGTATCAGCGACACACCTCGACACGTTGACCATCTGAGCTCCAGAGCATATTAAAGTGTAGTAAGCCAACGCATTGTTCGGTTGCGTACAGTTCTTGAACGTGCATCCCTCTCCACTGACTTCTTCTTTCGGGACTGCGATATTTGCCATAGTGTAGTCATCCATCGTCCAGATTTGAACTGCTTCATTGGACGGAGAGAGAGCGAAGCCTGTATCCCAGAGCACTGCGCGTTGGACGAGTCCAGGTAAATCACTGAACCGGATGTTGAGATCTGCCAGGCGGTTGGCTACACCCGTTGGAACCGAGCTAAGTGAGACTTTAATGTCGGTGTCTCCAGCCTTGTGTCGAACGTAGAGCTGCTGGGCGATGTCCGAGTTGGTGCCATCGAAAGCGAACGATAAGCCTGATGGTAATGGTGACGTTGACTCCAGACTCCGCAAGCGGATCGTGTGACCTCGTACCATACTCGAGGAGATTGCAAGTACAGAGGCAAGAGCAGTCACCCGCTTCACCCGTTTGGCGATTCTTGGAATGATGAGGAGCTTGACGGCTGGCATCGGTGGGATTTGCATCAAGTCGGACCAAAAAGGGTCACGGCAAAGGCATCAGATGTTCGGGTGCATCTTTAGGCCACAGCGTGACAAGCGCACCGGTTTGACCTGAAATCTTGAAAGAGGTTCACGGCTGCGGCAGCGAATGCTTGAGCACTGTCCGTACCAGTTCTACTGACGCCATTGCCTGATGCTTTTAGCGAAGTTAGGAAACTCACTACATGTAGCTACTCAGGGGGAAAATAACTGAACTGTAAATTAGATTCAAAATTGAGTACCGGTATTTGTACTTCGAAGTAGGCTACCGGTACCAGGAGGCTAAGTACTACTAGTAGTATAAAAAACCCGGATGATTGAAAAAAGCCAACTCAAAGCTTTAAGCTCTTAGAGCAACGTCAGTGATTTTGTCTGTGATTTTAAATTCTATTCTATTTGTAGGACAGCTTCCTCCGATGGCTGGTTTTTAGAAACCATTGGAGCCATGAATCTGCAACGGTGATCCTATATTTTCTGCTATTTCTTAAGAGTTGAAGTGCTTACTTCGAAGAAGCAAGCTGCTCGGTCCTGGAATCTGGCTTGGTCGTTTAGGCTTGACCCTCCTACGCGATCGGCGTGGGCTCAAACCGCCACGCTGTGCTTCTTGCTAAGAGCAGCAAAGCCGTGACCTTTCACGCCTATCCGATAGTCTGCTAGAACAGCGAGTTTCTCGTGGATACTATAGCTACGTCGCTCAGCACTCATGGCTGTGTAAATTATAGAATAGGAGAATTAAAGCCAAGTAACAGCAGCACCGACAACTTTGTTCAGAAGGGTGGTTGGTTGGGAGCTCTCAAGAATATTCATTGTTTGGTACAGCCTTGTGTTTTAAGTAGGTTTCAGCCACATGTGTTCTAATTAGGTAGGTGGTCAAATTGAGGTTTAAGCTAGATGTCGAGCGAATCCCGTATTTTATTTAACACATATGCCTTATATGAGGGGTAAGACGGTAGTTTGAAAGGTCTACTTACCACGATTTTTTATGAGCAAATTTCCTGCCAAATTTGCCAATACCTGGCCATTTGAACTATCATTTTATGGAGGGGTGGAGTTTTTTCGTCAAAAATAATCAGAATTAAACTTTAAACTATACTAGAAAAAGCGCAAACGGAGCTTAATCTAGTGGTATATCACTAAAAGCAGTTATACCCATTTTCGTGTCAATTACTCTCAATCCGTGTACATACAAATCCTCATATGAACTTGTTATAACCAATCGTACCTATCTCAGAATGGACGTTGACCAATCACATAGGAGAGGTTTTTTATAGAAAAACCTAGCTGTTAATTATTTTCCGGATCGGAGAAGTAATCTGCAGTAGTACAGTTCTGGGATTTGAACGCCAAAAATAAGTCAGAAGGATCATAAAATTCTTTACGATGAATGTCAACGACACAAGCGTCATCTTCTCCCCTTTTGTTTTGACTTAAGGTACATGTACAAGTATTGTGCGCTCTAGTCGAAGTTTCTCAGATGGGCTCAATGGGCCGAGCCATGTAGACCCAAAAACCGATCCAATCGGCTTAACACTCACGTTGAGTACGACATCGGACTTAAATAGAGCGACAGGGTACGATCCGTAACTGTGTCGTCGATTTTCAAATAGCTTGATTTTTGTATCGGGAGATTCAGCCCATCGGCAAATTTGACCGGAATTCACAATAAACGGCCAGTTTAAGTCAATGGTCCAGATTGAGGCGCACTAATAGGAGCTGAATATGCAGTTGATTGGTATGTTTAGACACGTGCGCCGCTCTACTTATACCTCTGTTTTGATCTAAGCTGCCAAATATGAAGCGTCTGTGGTGTAGGGATTTCCAGATTCGGTCATATGTCAACCTACTTTAGATCAAGAATCGGCTCGGTCTGGTAACCCAGAGCTTAGGAACAAAGGAGCACGGTAAGTACTCAGCGATCTGTCCGGATGAAGTTATCCGGATGGCCGCTGAGCTCAACGGTCGCCTGAACCCAGAGGAAGGGTCGGTAGATATCCGAAACGACTATGTGGTGTTGGAAATCCCACGTGAACTCTAGCTACAGATGTAGTTAGGATGTTCCCACAACAATACGTCTACTAGGATAGTAAACGATCGTTCGGGCGGACCTGAAGACCCCAGTTCTGCCCTTGCACCGGGACAAACTGGACCTTGTAAACTACTTATATAGGCCAACCAGTAAAATAAGAACACGCTACTAGCACGAGCAAAGCTAGCAGGTGTTTTGAATCCTCGTGGTCCCAACAGCGGAAGGGTACCAGGCACGGGTAAGCCTTTTACGAGATCACCGAGTGTTCAACACTCGGCTGGAAGAAATAAAAGGGAGGCAATTCAAGCACTCCCAGTCGTGCAAATAGGCAACAATAAGCCGTCACGTAAAACCTCCCGATAATAATCGGCCAATACACAAAGTCTCTTGGCCTTGCCGGATGAACCCTCGCTACAGAGCTTCGAGTTCACCGACAGGCATAACACACTCAAACAAGCTTGACCTGACGCTTACCTTGAAGCCGGACGTCGCTCTGTGTGCTTGAGTGGAAATACTGTTCTGTATTTAAGCTTACCCTTTCGGGTCTATTCCTAATAAGAAGTCCTAATCAAGTATACAAATATCAAGTGAACAATGATCCGTTATGGATCTTCTTGCATGCTAAGCGTCGTCTGCACTGTCGCATGAGCATCTTTAACGGTCCGCGCCCTGTCCCAGACGGTTAACGTGTCTTCCAAAGGTCGCTGAGTATTCCGCGAACTCATCCCAACCGCCACTGAGGGTTCGTACCGTAGATGGTCCGCTGAATGCGAATCCGGCCAGTCCATTATTAATAATAAGGACAGCCTGGATTCTGTGACATAGGGCCGTATCCGATATTTGTTGAAAACTCGGAGGTGACGCCGTCGAGTCCCTTGCACCTTGGCGTCCCCGTACATCACTCGACCGAGGGTTCGTCGCTTGAACAGCTTGGGCGGTGTCACGTCTTTGTCGACGGGTGATAATCCGCAACCACGGAGAAATCACTACACCACAACTGCCCCTGTCGCAATGGAAGCCACGGTACTGGTGCCCGTTGTGACATTTCTTCATTCTTCAATTCACCATCTCGCCACCGTATGTCCAAGCGTCTGAATCGAGTCGTGTCCGACGCGTTTCAGCGTCTCAATCCTCGTAGACGTCGCGAGCGTGAGCAGCTGGAGGTACGTAAGCCCATCCTTCTCTTGAATCATCGGTACCTTGCTCATCACCTCGCATTACTCGACTTGTTTCTCAGGAGGGCAAGACCGAGGGTTCGAACGCCCCTCAGTCTGCTGCACTTCCTCCGACAGCAGCGTCATCAACCGGTCCTCCGGCGCCCGCTGCCCCAGACTCTTCACTTCCTGCGGTAGCTCCTGCAGCACTCCCCGTCGTCGCTGAATCCGCGGAGATGGCTCCTGCTGCTCCTCCTGCCCCAGCTGGTGGTCCACCACCACTCACCGAAGATTCGCTGCGCGCCATGCTGGCTGAAAGTACGGAGGCAGCGGTCGATCACATGATGACCTCGATAATCCCGTACTTGACTGCAATGGCTCGTCACCAAGTGCAGATCAGCGTTGTGCCTCCTCTCCACGGCGATATACACACTCAGCGTCGTCTCGAGACAGCTATTGGTTTCGATGAGGTCCTCGCTGCGATACAACCTGTTCCTGACGCGCTGTCGGCATTACCCCAACGCGTTGCCGACTTAGAGCGTCAGTTGCGGTTTGCTCAGTCCGAGGCTGCTGCCGCCGTGCGTTCGGTGGCACCCCCACATCATGGCTCGTGAGAACGCGGAGACGTTCCTCAAGGCTGCAAACGCTGAGATTGAAGCCTTACACCACCACGTCAAGATTCTCCGCGAGTCGAACGCCAAGAACGACGCCATGCTCGCCACTGTTTAAGCCACTATGGAACGACACGCAGAAGACTTGAATCGTCTGCACTGCGAGGTCCAAGCTCGGGACGTTTTTATCAGCACGTTGCAGAAGAAGCTGGCTCGCGAACGCGAAGTGTACAAGTCTTCTATTGGCGCAAATACTGAGCAGACCCGGAAGCTCCACCTCCTTCTGGTAAAGCTTGCCCAGGGCAAGTATGTCGATAACGACACGCTCAAGGTCCTCGAGAACCAGCAAGACCGTAACACTCGCCTCCTCCAAGCGAATCGTACCCTCCGTGCACACGTGAGTCTGGCAGGGATGGATCCCGAGGTACTTCGTCTGGCTGTCGAAGGCACGCTCTTAATGTTGCTCCTTCCACCGTGTGTTCAGCAACTAACGTTTGTTCACAATCTTTCGTGATAGGTCTGACTGCGGGTGAGCTGGACCTGGATGCGCTGGACTTGGATCAGAAGACGTTAGTCGCTCTGCGGCGTATTCAGTCTGCCACTGCTTCTTCGGACAATCCTCAAGCCTTTCCGGCAGCTTTGGCCAAAGCAGCTCACCAAGTGGCCCATGGGAAATCCCATAAGCGTCTTAGACACAGGTGGCGAGGATTCAGACGACGATCCGGACGACTGACGAAGACAAGGCTCCAATCCAACGGACAAGGCCAGTGCTTCGATGGCAGCTGCCGGTCTCGGTGATGCGCCACCTGCCGATACTTCAACTCCCAAGTCGGCTCGTAGATCGCTGTTCGGTCCGAAAGCGTGGAAGAAGGCGGCCCAGAAGAAGCGCAAGAAACCCCGTCCTCATTCTCCTGCTAAGTCGCCACGACGTCATATAAAGACTCGGTCCAAGTCTGTACCGTCTTCTCCAAGTTTATGGTCGCCACCTCCTACACCAGCGTCTTCCTCGACTCCCGCAGTGGTCGACCTCAGCGGCGACCAGAGTGACGTGGACATGGGGACTGCTGATCCAGGCAGCGTCCCTTCGGTTCAAGAAACTGCTACAGAGCCTTCGGGTAAGGACGTGAACCCTGAGGATCACGACGAGGTTCCTGTCTCTCCTGACGCGCCTTCGCTCCC